AAAAAAAAAAAAAAAAGAAGGTGTATTATCAGTCCTTCTTAAGGCAGGAAGCGGGGAAGTAGTGTGGCTCTAGTGGTCGGCCTCCCGCAGCCTATGTGCAGTATGATTGAGGGTTATCTCTATGAGAAGTTTATGTAATCAAGAATCTAATTTGTAAACCTTCAATCCTCATTTACTCATTTACTATCGGAGCAATGCTTTACCCCGTATATTGAGGTTTTCTATGCATTTTTGCCGCTCCTTTATAGCTTCTACTAAAGTTGCTTATAGTCTAACACAAACAAAGATGTTTAAAAACCTTCCATAACGTCGTGTACGGTAGTCGTTCCGCTAGTAACAGCCGACGCTCCAGTCCATACTGTAAGCGTCGAAAGGATTGTCTGAGCAGATGTGTAAACATCCTCAGTGACCGTTGTAGGCCGCGTACGAGTGATAACAACAGTGCTGTAACGAGTGTTTAGCACGGTTGTGGCGCTAGTAGTAGTAACTGTGTTGAAGTTGTTAGCCGTGATAAATTGTGTCTTGTGCACATAAACCAGGTGATAGAACTCGGTGAGGATGTAAGTCCTCACTTCCGCATTGATAACAGTGTGACGCCTTGTCTGAGCTACGATCCGAGAGTTGGTGATGGTGATAGTAATAGACCGAGTATAGCTGCCAGTCAGCGTGGTCGCGGCAACGGTAGTTTGCCGGTTGGTGATGGTTGAGACCACCTCTGGGTCCTGGTAGTCGCGGCTGCTGCGGGCTTCGTAATCAAGCATGAGCAAGCGCTGCTGACGGCACTCGGTGTCTTGTTGGGCAGATAACTAGGCACCAATACAACCTGTACCGCTCTCTTGCGATGGTTGCGGGGCTTGGAAGAAGTTAGTAATAATCTTATGGTTCTTTCAAACTGTGTATGATAGACTTGTAGGGCTGGCGGAATTACATTCCAACCCCAGATTGTGATACCCGAAGACTTGTCTATTTCAACCGTGTCCCCCCTCAATAGGCAGTCAGCTAAGATGTCCAAATAAGGACATTCACTAATGGGTACTGACGAATAAAAAACATAGCACGAGCATCTTGTACTATTCATGCCGAAGTAACGCCAGCCGTTCCAAATTTCTTTGCACTGGCCGAAACTGAACGAGCCACCTCTCACGACAACAGGTGCAGATCCACAAGTACCGACAACGCTGCAGTGAAACGCAGCTAATAATCGAGTCACTATGAGCCTATAAGCATAGCGGATACACAGAGCATACCGTCGGGGACATACACTACGGATGCCGATGCACTGCACACAGTTAGTAAGCAGTTGCCTTTCCAAAAGGTTTAAAGCCTTACGTGGTACTAGACGAGCAAATTTTAGTATATATCCTTACGATAAAAGTGATTGAAAGTGCTCACGTAGTATAGCGGGTTGTGAGAACAATAGTTGATCCGCCAGTGTAAACAACGCTTGCTGGAACAAACGTTGTCGTCGGCGCATCGATAACTATGGTGACAGTTGTAACAGATGCTTTGGTGGTAGTCTCATTCACCTGCGACATGATTGTTCCAACCCTCTGCGGAGCATATGTGTCTCTCGGGGTAGTCATGCTGACGAAAATGCTTGTCACTGTCTGATAATCGGTGTTATGAATGCGGTACTGGTCTTTGTGACGAGAGTCGACATTGTGCCTATCTTGGTGACTATAGTGACAGTTGATACGGTGGTCCTGACCCTGTTGACTGCGGTCTCGGTGGTCTTGATGTTCTTTGTTACCAAAACGGTTTTAGTGCTGACTGGAGTCACGGTGGATGTGATGGTGCTTTAGATGTAGGTAGAGCAGAAAGCGGATCCATAAGCCTTATCCTTCTGGAACGCTTGGTGTTCGGATCGCTGGCTTTGCAGACTAGAGAGCGTAACCATATTAGAGAGGAGGATCTAAAGGCGGTGAAATGGTATTCTTGACGTAACTGCCCTGGGATCAAGAGAGTTCCCCTCACTGATAGCGAGTAACGCGCTTGCTGCACTGATAAACAGCAGCGCCAGGACTTTGCGCAAGGAGAACATTTTCGCTCAATACCAAGAGTGTGTCGCAGGATATCAAGATTTTATGCCTGGCAATGTCTTGCGGTATACAAACGCTTTACAATGCCGTAGCCTCTTGTATTTCAGCTGTACAGGAGTAAGCCTTCTTCAATAGTCCAATTGTAGTTGAAGCCTGGTTTCGTTCTCGACTTTTAAAATGGAGTGTTTGTCACTTAGCAAGTCGTCAAAGGTTGGTAAATGGCCTGGCGTAGCCAATAGTCTGTTATCACAGGAATCGGGAGGCTGAAACTAGGTCAAATGTAGTACTTTTAGCAGAGTTGAAAATCTGGCAGGTGCTCTAAAAAGTCTCGATTACGCCACTTTACAGATTCTAACGGTCTTTGGTATTCTGGCGTTCACCGACTTCCTTATCATATCCACTTATACCGCCAGTATAGTTATAGGCACGCCAGCGCTCTTATATGCGCTGTCCAAGACTCAGGACCCAGATTGTTCAGGTTATGGCGGGTGGCATCAGTTTAGTATCGTCCCCGCAAGCTGATAGGCTGGTAGTGATGGTACAAAACGACCTGATTGAATCTGCAAAGCCGACGACGCTGTGGCTCGACTTTGATCATGGTCACGTACCCTTCGGATATTGTGAGACACATCCAAACCGATGTGGATATAACGAAAAGCATCAATGGAATGCCTTGGTGTATGCCATGACTCCATTGAAAGCCTTCAGGGTCTCGGACAAGAACGATGTGTCGCAGCTTTCCTTCAGTCATGGCTGTTCCTAGGACTAGTGGAGATCGTCACAGGCAAGAAAGTCAATGCCTCATACCTCTCCAGACAACACGCCGACGGACAGACGTATATCTACACTCGCAACCTCCATTTCTGCCTTCGGGTGAAATTATTCGACATTCGTTTGGAGCCTAATTTAGCCCCTGAGAAAGGACAGACCTTAAAGAATACCGCTTGAGTAATCAACCAATTGATATCGAGATCTATGCATTGGAGCCACCCAAATTTTCGATCAATGTTGCATCGAGTTTTCCGCGGCTTCATGAATCTTATTCAAGATTCCCGACCGTCCATAATTTGTCTACCTTGGTAATACTGTAGACCAGGCAAGGCTGTTGGCGCTTAGGAATTGTCCACTGGCTATATACATAGGAATAATTACATGGAGTCTATTACAGCCGCATTTTCTCTGGATATTTAAGGGTTGTGGTAGCTACTCGTTGTGCACAAGCTGTTGTAAAGTAGCTGCTGTGTACCAACAACCCTTGGTTCACTTACCCGGGAGTTCAGCTGGTTTATCTTGCAGGGTGGGTAGGTCGGCATTTGTTACAGCGTAGCGCAGCTTGGCATCGTGTTTGTCGACGCTAAAATATTACTGTGGATCTCGGATCACGGCAGGTCTGCCAAGCGCTAAGTATTTTAGATGAATCTTTTTCCATATTTCTCTCTTCCTGTTTGGCACATGTAAATTATCAGAGTGCTACGGGCTACAAGTTTACAAATCGAAAATAAAATACTACTAGACGTTATGTACCAGGAAGTCTACTACAAGAATATCTTACAAACAATAAGGAGAGAAAGACAAGACTTCTGTTGAAAGAAGAAACAAAACCGGCTATCAGACTGGACGGGACAAAACGCATGACCCCTTGCATATCCCCTTTGATTGCAGTGACTTAGGAGTCGGAATGCCGTAAGTAATGTCATTATCGCAAGCTGCTTTAGGACAAGGTTAAAAAGAAGTGTTTAGCAAACTCGGCGCCACCCGTCGGATCGGAGATTTTGCCAAGCCAGTGCAACGGCGAACCGTTGTTAGTGCGTCCGAATTGCCAAGGGGTGAAAAAATAATTTAGAGGTGGTTATCATGCTAAATGTTCATCTTTTAGATTCAGATCAGTCCACACGCAAAGTTTTCGAACAGGGGAAGTGATCCTCCATGTGAAATTAAAATTGAGGCTCCGTAATAACTTGTTCTAGTCTGATTCCCCCCACATTAACGCATGGGAAATGATCCTTCGCGTGGGGTTACACTGGGTCTCCGACCACTTCGCCCTCGGAGTCCCTTTTGGAGGCTCTGTATTCCTTCGGAGACATCATGATCAAGTATAGCTTCATCACTGGCGCTCGGCTAGAGAAAATGGACTAAGGAGCGTCAGGCACAGACAGGCCTTGGATTGGTCCGATTGCGATGAACAATAAGAAACAGAAAACAGTTGCAACCTTCCAGAATATAAAGACAAGACTGAAGTTGCTCAATTAAAATGTACTTACTGGCTGGTCATTCACTCTTTTAGCAACTCTAAGCAAAATGCAGAGTTTATTCCTCCATGGCCTTTTGGCCTCACTAGCCTCTGCTAGTATCACACATCAAAACCCAGTTGTGGACGGGCCCGATGTCTTGTCACGATGGCTTGACATGCGGTCGCCTGAAAACGACACGACGAGTAGTCTGACAAGCCGGAATCTCGTGTCTGCATCTCCTGCACAGCTGTTTGGCAAGCGTGCGGATGATGAGCCTGGTGAGGGTGCGCTACTATGCCCTACCGGCGAGTGTGCCGACAAGAGGTGAGTTCATCGAAAGCATTCATAGACCCCAAGTCTAGCCATCGGTATACTGACAATAATCGTCTCTAGTTGCTGTTCCGCCAAGGGCGTCTGCGGTTACGGTAAAGGATTCTGTGACGAAGGCTGCCAAAGCAACTGCGATGCCACGGCCATGTGCGGTGAGCTATCTGAAGGTGGTGACATCCCCTGTGGTCTCAACCTTTGTTGCAGTTCTGGCGGCTGGTGTGGTACCTCACAGGTGCACTGCGTTGGTCCCAACAAGTGGTCTCTCTGCCAGCAAGGCTACGGTAGCTGCGAAATGATCCAACCCAAGACATGTGGCGAGGGCTCTGGCACAGCCGATAAACGTATGATTGGCTACTACCAAGCTAACAATATGCGTAACCGCGCATGCAACAAGATTTATCCCCAAGATATCAAGACCGACAGCTACACCCATCTTTACTGGGCCTTTGCCACCATCGACCCCAACTCTTATGCTGTCAAGCTTGCCGAGGCTGAGGATGAGGACAACGTCCGCGACTTCACTGCCCTCAGGGGTAAGGGTAGAAACCTGCAGACTTGGGTCGCTGTGGGCGGTTACGACTTCAGCGACGAAGACAAGCCAACCCATAAGACCTGGGCCAACCTTTGCGCCAATGCTGGAAACCGTGCCAACTTCATCAAGTCGGCTGCTGCCTTCATGGATAAGTACGGTTTCCAGGGTATAGATCTTGACTGGGAGTATCCTGGTGAGCCAAAGCGTGGAGGAAGCCGTGCCGATATTGCCAACTTCGTCCTCCTGCTTAGGGACATGAAGAAGGCGTGGGGTAACAAGTATGGTATTAGTCTGACTCTTGCGCCTGACTACTGGTACCTGCGATATTTCGATGTCGCTGGACTGGAGCCTTACGTCGACCACTTTGGCTTCATGTCCTACGACTTGCACGGTTTCTGGGATGCTGATGTCAAGACTTTGGACCCTATCGTCCGAGGTCAAGCTGACATCCGCGAGATCCTGAATAACACTATTCCACTGGCCTATGCAGGTGTTGACTTTAGCAAGATCGTCTTCGGTGTTGCGTGGTATGGCCGTGGATACACCCTAACCGATCCCAAGTGCTCAACACTTGGCTGCCCCTTTTCCGGCCCAAGCAACCCAGCCAAGTGCACTAACAGCGCGGGCGTCATGTCCCTCTTGGAGATCCAAGACAAGGCTAAGAACGGAGGCAAGACCCGTCTTCTCAAGGACTCGGCTATGAAGGAGCTTGTCTTTGATGACCAGTGGATCGGCTATGACGACGCTGAGACGATTGAGCTGAAGCGCAAGTTTGCAAACAACTACTGCTTTGGCGGTTTGATGGCCTGGAGTGTCGATTTTGAGCCCGGTACCGGACAAAACAGTGACATGGAGCCCGAGAAGTCCAAGGACGGTTCTTGTGGACCCAAGAACAAAGGTACCATCTGCGAGGGTACCAGCTATGGCGACTGCTGCTCCGAGTATGGCTCATGTGGGTCATCATCACTGCATTGTGGCACGGGCTGTGTCAGTGGTAAGTGTATCAAGAATGGCAAGTCAACCAATGGCCGATGCGGTGTCGGTTTCCTCGGCGCTACCTGCAAGGGAACAAGCTACGGTGACTGCTGCTCGCGTGAGGGCTGGTGCGGTAGCTCTGACGGCCACTGCGGCGATGGATGCCAGAGTGGATGCAACAAGGACGAAGACGACAAGGACGACAAGGACAGCGACAGTGACTTTCCCAAGATCCCAGCCCTGGCTCAAAAGGGTACGACTGCTGGCTCTTCTGGTGATAAAGGTCTCAACTGGCCTGAGGACCTTGTGGATGACATCTGCAAGTATGACTTTGCCTCTGAGGACTCTTCGAAGGTGTTCACCGCGTGGTATGGGAGCGGCGCACTCAACTGGTTTAACGCATGGCTTAAGAAAAACGGTGCGAAGAACTGGACAGACAAGTTCTTCAAGGATGTCATCGCTGGTGGTAAACAAGGTAGCTCTACCTTTGACTGCAAGGACCTCGGATCAACAACGTGCACAGGCCCTGGTGCCATGCCTTGTTCCAGCTATACGCCTCCCATGGCGTTTTATGTCCATATCCAGATTGCCAACATGTTCAGCGCCTTCCACAAACTCTGGATGAAGAACATCAACTTCAGTATCCAGCAGCTGTCGAGCGGCATCAAGGAGATCGTCAAGGAGTACGGTGATCCGCCCAAGGACGATCGCGGCATGCTTCTCAACATGATGGTTGGTGTCCTCACCTCAGGCGCCGGTCTTGCAGGTGGTAGTACCGGTCTCGCGGGTGCTATAACCTTCTTCTCGGGCGCTGTCGCCTCTATCTCTGCCAACGGTGATCTCTTCGGCGATACTGTTACCCCCGACGATCTCAACGACGACCTCGAGAACGCCTACGGCACGGCCTTTTCTGCCGTGCTCAACGCTACTACTGGCTACGTTGAGAAGGTCATGAAGGGCGAGATACCTGAGAACTGGGAGGGCGACGTAAAGGACCAGGACAAGGACGAGTACGCTGAGCTCTTTGTTCGAACCCGCTTTCTGAAGGGAGAGTGGTTGTCGGAGCCCTTGATCAGCAAGGCCATGCAGGTCTATGTCACTGCTACACACAAGAAATGGGTAAGTTGCATCGATACATGGTTGCTATTGAGTATTATGCTGACTTGTTTCACAGTTGGAATTCGCCAAGATTAGATGTCTTAAGCAAGGCTACAAGGGTACTGCCTTTTCTTTGATGTGGAGTGGTGTACGTTCTCTCTTCTCCCGTTCCCTTACAGATCATTTCTAACTTAACCTTTTTCCATGACAGCCTAACAGTAAAGTTGAATGTGACTATGTAAGTTTGCATACATTTACCTTTTTCTAAGCAATTCTAACGTTTTATGATAATAGCTACGAACGAAATCCTCGGATCCAGTAGGCAAAAAGCAAAAATTGACAGAGGATGTCTGCCGCAACAAACTGCCTGGATGCATCTGGCATGACAACGTAAGTTTTATATCCTTATCTGTACTATCCTCTATTCGATGTTCAGACTAACACGTCTCGCTTCCCTTTAGAACTGTATCTGCTTCGGAAGAAGTAACTACAGACGTCCTGGCAAGAATCAACAACATGACCCCCTTCTCGAATCTGAAATCAAGGAGATGAAGAAGGTTGTGGATGACTACGAGGCCGCCCTTATCAACAACTACGAGTGCAATAATGGCGAACCCTCAGTACCAAGCTCGAAGGACTTCAACATCAACAAACCTATTCAGTATCCCAAGTGTTTCGTCAACTTTCACAAGCTTACGAAAGACGAGCCTTTCCACTGTGCTATTCCCAAAGACCTTTGGTAAAAAGCAGGTAGAGCTATCCGGGAATTATAGCTTGCTACACTTTTAGCTTTCTATCTAGTCTACCTTTACAGTTTAGCAGTTAATAATATTGCATTTAAAGAGAGATAATAGTACTTTTTGTTTTATATTATATGATAAAGTAGTATTCCTAGTATTAAGGAAGTACACAATATCTAGATACTTGAAATTAGAATTCTTCTTAAGAAACTAACCTGATAATAAGGTTTCCCTCTTAAATTACACTTTTTAAGCGCCATAACTCCAATACTTACACAGAACCTTTTCTTTCTCCTTTACTAATTGCTTTAATATTGGGTTTTAGCTATGCATAAAGTGCATTACTTTTATCTGAATTTTTCCCTCTTCCTTCTACCAACATCAACTATAACTATCACAATAATGATCACAGATACAACCGAAGCCATCTTTGACGGCCCTGCCCACAACGGGGCCGCCGTCACCTTCTTTGGAGGGATAACTATCACTAACACCTCTTCTCTCTTCTGTTGTAATGTTTAATCCTGTGACCATTACCGAACTTCTTGCCACATTACTTGGAGGCATCGCTCATAGGGTAAAGCTTATTTCCTATTTGACTACCCATGATCGCCGACATCATCTTCACCTCGCCATAGCCCAGCTTGTTACTAGCCTCGGTCGCTTGTTGTGAGAAGGTCACGATAGTTCCTTCAACAAATCGGTGCTAAAGTAGTGTTAGTTTCTATGTAACCACCGTCACGCTGGCTAACATACTTGAAAGATGGCTCTCTGCTGGCCAAAGAGATAGTCTTCGTCAACGGTAAGTTTGTAACCTGTCTCGGTCTTCTCAATCTTCGATGACTTGAAATTCTCAAGCATTTCTTCTAAGACAAAGAGAAAGTTGGTCTTCTCGGGTTCATCGGCTGTCAACGTTAGACCGAATAACTAGCGTAGAGGAGCCCTATACATACCACGAGTATTTGTGAACTCTATACGCATGTAAGTCTTGTTAAACTCCTTCATGGTTTGCCTCCATGTAACAGGCGTGGGTATCCACTTGGCCTCTTCCGGAATGGTAAAGACGTCAGATTCTTTGACAGGCATTTTTTGTATTCGTAAAAATAAAGGGCTCTGCGATTTCGGAGATAAGATAAAGAAGCTTTGATGCGACTGGTGAGAGGTAAATGGCTTTCACATCGTTCTTATAGTCTATCAGTATCTTATAGCCATGGCGCCAGTAACACACTGTGTCCGCGTCAGCCATTACCTTTTCGAGCTTCTAGGCCACTGTCGGAAGTCATCTCACCTCGGTTAGGGTCAGCAGAGTCTAGATATCTTCCAAGCACCTAACTAACCAACAACGTTCGAAAAACTGCCGCGTGATGGGCGTAGTGCAGCAGCTACTCAGGGTTTGCTTCTAACACATCTGGTGATAAAGATGCCCGCAATGCGTACTTAATAAAACAACACTTTGTAGTGCAGCAGATAGTCAAGTAAACCTCGGGATGCCCGTTGATACTATGGGGGGAACTGGTTCGCCAGACTAACCCTGGAGCTCCACACCATAGCCGATTTACAAGGGTAGCCGCTCCCACATCCCGGACTACTGAAAGACCCCGGCTTAGCTTGAATTGTGACAAGCTTATGGTTGGTTCCAGGGCTTACATGTCTCACAGCCTCTGTAGGTTCTAGAGCGCAGTTGAATGGAGAGAAACCAGCCTAAATATAAGCGAGGTCTCGATCGTTTTGCAGCCAACTGGCTAGCCTAATCTGACATTCAGCTGTCGATGGCCACAGCTGAGCACCGTTCCACTATTGTGTGATATTGGTTGGAATTTGCATAAGTGCTTGTTGCATTGCCTCTCAATGCTGGCCCCCTCGCGTTTCAGGATGTCCTTTTCGGACTCTTAGTCTTCCTCATGATACGGAAGATTATTGATGGTTCTAGACTGGGGAATGTGATTGCTCAGAACCTGAATAGTGGCTGGCTGTGCTGGAATTTCAGCTTGCGGCGGAAACGCCCCGCTGGAACTAAACCCGGACTCCCTGAGACATCATATTCCAGCTAAAAACATCGGAAGTTAATCTCAGTTTTTCCAATTCCAGTGAGTCAACCCTTAGATTTCCACATCAACCTGGAATGGGACTTTTAAATGTCTGTTCTACTATGACTTATTTTAGAAGTCCTTAAATATAATCTACCAGAGCGCATTGAATCTCAAAGGCAATCTTTTCGCCCCAACCCTCGTTGTGGTTTTTGAATCCGTATACCTTGCAGGATTCGCTCCTCTGAACAGCCCTGATTGCCCAATACCTTTCGTCTTCATTCCCCTAGTACACGAAAATGCACCTCTCTTGGCTCTCTTCCGTTGCTTTGCTTATCCAAGTGTCAGCAGCATGGACTCTCCCACAGTTCGTCCTCGCTGACCCTGACAAACCTACATGTCATTGCAATCTTGGAACCGATGGCGCGGAATATATTTGTGGAGATTCACGTCTTGGGCCCGTCGACTTGCCGAAAGAGCTCATTCTGGGTACCGTCATGTCAAGATACGACCGTTTTGGGACGCTCACGCCAGTTGGATTCATCAATCAATGGTGGAACGTCTCGGAAAATGAAGGCAAGGGTGGTTGGGACTACCCTAAACAAGGTGGGTTCTTGTTGGATGAGAGAGATATTCCCGTCAAGGCCAATATGACACTTCCAGTGGGAACTCTAGTGGATCGTTTCGGGAAAGAGTCCGGTAAGAGGCTCTACCAAAAGACCAATGAGTAATGCTGATAAATACAAGGGAAATATCTTACTCTGGCTGCTACACCTTTCTCGCAACGATCCCTTGCTCCAGATTCGTTGAACACGCATAACGGGAACTTTACATACGGCTACCATGTGTACAATGTCACCAAGAATTTCATAGTAGAGGCGGGCCCAATCGCACCGGCTTTCGGTCAGCCAGGTCTTGGAACGCAGTTCTGGACTGGGGGTCCGGGATTGAACCTCAGTGTTAGCAAGCTGCTGGACGAAGGTTACTTGGAATTCATCGCATCAACGCAGTTGGATATTGTCAAGATAGGTTGCGGGCAATAGCTGGGGAGCCCTTTCTCTTCTTTCTTTTTGGTCACCTTATCAGATTTATTGAGTGCATAATGTAGACAGCGACAGATGGAGAATAAGAATCAGCCATGGGCGGCTTTACTTCAAAAGAAGCGACCTTTGCAACCTCAGTGCTTTCAATCTTACCCCACTTCCGGTGCTGACGGAAAGCGTTCCGAACACTGGCCAAGATATTTACTTGCAGGCAAGACATTGTCTTACTTCAGCATCCAATTGAGAAGTCCGGAGGGGGACACCTGCGTTGCCCTTGGCCTGAATTACTAGCGGCTTAGCAAGACCTGAACTCAGACGTATAATGTCCAATCACAATAGGGTATTCCTTCACCATGATACGGACCGTACCGACTGCAACCTTTAATTTCTCCATGCGACTAGTGTTATCTCCGAATGTGAAGGGTACTAACTAATGCATATAAGCTTGAAGCGCTCACTGCACTAGGTTTAAAAATCCTTTCTTGCGTTAAAGGTTGATATACGGCTCAAGGATACGTGTCCCAGTCAGATGTCATTCAGTCACCCTAACGTGTCTTTGTTTCAGTTGTCACATTTACGCCACCTGTCACTTGAGTGAAGGGTCGAATGCGACGTCTTTTTAAGGGAGTTCCGAAACTTCCTCATAAACAATAGGTAGATATACGAAGGTATGCGATGGAACCAATGGATGCCCAGCCTCTACACTAAGGATGACCCGTTGCCGGCACGGCAAACTAAGCGGGCCGCCCACCTGTCAAGCATGTCAGTGGGGGAAATGAATCTTGCATATGACCAGTCGGAATTCGATCGGCTTGTGCCGAGCGGATCATTGCAGAGATCTCATACGATGTTTATTGCCGCTGAAGGCAGGGGTGTCCGGGAAAGGGGGTCGGGGTATGCCAGTCGCTGAAATCCCTTGATCAAAATCCCCCACGTCACTGTACTCACTTTCCCGCATCGACTTGGCGAATTCGATCTCTAAGATTACGGGCTTACGTCGTACAGTGACCCATAGGATCTGGAATCTACGTGCAAATTTGATGAGGCCGTGAAATGGGACCACGTTCGGCTGCATGTACCTAAAATGTTGAGCTATAGTGATTTGATCTGGGCCACAGGCCTGCATGGCAGCCACAGTACCCGTTGTAGCAAGCGTTTGTAGCAACGTCACCTTCAAAGTACAGTCTCTAAGTATTTGGAGACAACAGCAGGATATTCGATCGAAGAGTTTGAGTCTCGGTATATTTGAGATAAACAATATCAGGGAATCCTCAAATGCGTCGAGTCAAAGGGTTCAATCGAAATTAGGGATAACGGCGGCGCAGTTGAGAGAGGTTGCCAAGGACGCCTCGTTACAGGGCCAATAGCAAGTCAAAGCTCCCTGCAAACAATATTTTTTCTTAAACCCGCGTGCATTTTGACAAATAGTGGTGGTCAATGTAACTATCCATCTTTGTCATAGACTGTGCATATGAGAACAGTCTGCAAGTCATCGTTAATGGATCCAAGACTGCAAACTTTCGCGGAATCGGACTGTCAGGGTCTTTTGATCGGCCGCTGTGGACTGAGGACCTGAGACAGACATATATGTCTGAAATTCAATCCTTATATCCGACAATCCTGAGTTGGCTTTACCGGCGAGGCCGATTCAAAACGAGTATGCTCTGATTCGTTGATCAAGTTGCATGCTTCAAGTGCTGAGACACGATGTGAGATTGCGGGGAAAGGACGGGGGCGTTAAAGAGTCCAGCCAGCCACGAACTACGAGGTATACCGAAAAGGAATGAAGTGACTCAAACTCTTCATTTCACTTGAACAAATTGTCGTTCTCATCCAATCCTCCAACAAAGATCTACTCGAGCTGATGATTCATAGTGGTTCAGAGAAATGCAGCAGTTTCATTTCTTGGTGGCTGCTGCCAAGAGTCCTGTCGCAGTACACAACGACTCATGTTTCTACTTTTGACGCAGAGTCACTTTCTCAAATAAATGGACGAGATAAGCTATAATGCCAACCGTATGTTCATGGTAAGTCTACTAGCAAAATCGTAATCAATCTATTTGCCGTTACAAGCGACTCTAGCCGTACCTTTTTGTACACACAGGAATATTGATATGTACTTAAGAAACAAGGCCTGTACTCGTATCAAGGGGATCAACGTCCCTTGCTTCACTGTCTCGCCAACCTAACGTCAGCAGAGGTGAGAGGCTGAAACTCGCGGTGAGATACATACGATCACATTGACGGATCTCACTTTCAACTTCCTCTTTGGCTTTATCATGCAGCCCTTGAGGCAGATGTGAACTGACCGCTATACGCCAAGCCTAACCAGAGACATATATCACATACATCGGAGGAGATTTGCTGTTGTGGATTGTCTATTGCAGAATGGGTTCACAACTGCAGTGGCCACTCCAATGGGATCAGAAACAGTAGCTGCAATTCTCCAGAATTATTCCAACATCCCAAGCCTCCATCTCCTCTTTCGGTACCTTAGTACATACATCAAACAGTGAATTCAATATTTTATAAATATAGCCCCATGGGCCAAACATTCGTCCAGTCCTTAGCATCTTCGTCTCACACTCTTAACTACTGTTAAGATACCGCATCGCCGTCGTCTACTCTCTTGACAACAATTTCGAACACGATGGGCGAAAACGTTCAAGTCCCCAAGACCTTCGTAGGGTTGAACAAACTCGCTGCCTTCCCTCCTGATGCGCAGGAATCAGTCAAACCAGGTCGTTGGTACATCAAAGCATCCAAGAAAGGAAAAGCACCGACGAATGAACATCACCGCCACAACCTCTGGTTCAGCACAGAGGTGGGCTCTACCTTATCCCAGCGACGTGTATATGACGGCTAATCCTTCCACCAAATTAGCCGTTGACAGCCTTCGATGCCCAGAGGCCTAAAAGTATCCAGTTGATCACGTACTCCCACGGAAAGGCCGAGGAGGCCACTGCCAAAGGGTCGACCTGGTTCGAAATCCGTATTTGCAGCAACCCAGATGATGCCAAGAAAGGCATCTCCAAGAAGGTTGATGGCCAGAAGCTAGAGTGGTTTAGTCACGCGCACCAATTCCAGAGCGAGGAGGAAGAATGGGTATGACATCCTTCCATATTCACGAGGGCTACGCTGACAACTTTGTGTCTAGTGTCTTGGTCGTGTTTTCATGCATGATGAAAACATCCTTAGTCATGTGGAAGTAAGTACTGTATCTACCTGCAGAGTCTGCCTTACAGCCACTGATTTTCTCTACAGGAGAATGATATTATTGCCGTTTATATCTGTGCTTCTGGCGACCATTTTAACCACGCCAAGGAAGGATACCTGACCTTTGACTACGGCAGCTACAAGGGCTGTGGAAGTAAGTCCAAGTCGTACAAACTAAGTACATGAGCAATTCTAACACATCGATTACAGTTCATCTCGAGCTGCCAGACCCCAAGAACTCTCCTGAGGTCCTGGTCTATGGCGAGAATCGTCGAGAATGCTTAATGACACCAGTTTCTAACACTACCCGCACTTCTGCCAAGAATGCAGTGTTTGTCGATGGTGGAGTCGATCTCATGGATCGGCTGCTGCAAAACGACGCCAAGAATTGGAAGGTGCAAAAGCACTACCTCGAGTCAAAGAGCTCTACACTTGACCCTCATACAATATTCGAGCTGGAGGGTGTCAAGAAAAACAAGAAAGGCGAGAAAGTGACCAGTGGCGATTATGAGACTGCCAAACAGTATACACTTCTCGGCAGCAATACTTCTCCGCTACCAGCACAGAACCTAGTATCTGAGACAAAGCCGAAGATCATTGTCTGGAATGACTTTGGAGTCCTTAGGGACGAGGCGACAGCCAATACTGCACGGTCTGATGCTCGGCTACTCATCTATCAAATGCAAGCTCCTGTATTCCAAGGAACTCTTTGGGAAAAGGCTGTGCAGGCTACCATGCACCAGGTTGAACTCAAGCACAAGCACTCTGCCAACGCCAAGAAAGGCAGTCAAAAGGTTCTCATCGTCATTGATGCTGAGGACCTTCGTGCCCATGGTTTCCACATCTCTCGCCGTGTATCCTGGGAGAAGACTATGGAAGATTTCCGTGCTCACTTCCCCGAGTTTATCAAGGACATACACAAGGATATGCACGTGATTGTGCGTCTGGGTTACGAAGGTGCCATTTACGTACCACTCAAATCCGGCATCACCACGAATGCGCATGCGCGTTTCCAATTCGATTGTTACTTGGTGCCTGACAAAATTGAGGGCGATCTCCTTCGAACTCACAATCGCAACATCCCAGGTATCGACATGGCGTTCCTTGCTGGTCTGACAGCCTCGCTTGTCAGAGAATCGAACGATTCACTTAATGCAATCAGCGAGACTCAAGTCCAAGCCGCAGTGGATCTCGGTCTGGCTTGGTCCCATCGCTTTGCAGCTGTACGTTTCTGCAAGGACTCGAACGGCATACTCAACTACCCATGCCCCAAGCACTTCGACAACGAGAAGATCAAGCCGAAGCTTATCCCTGTCAAAGCGGAGGAAATGGGGACTGATGGCAACTGGTCTCTGTTCAACCGCCTAGCAAATGTCAGAAACACGGTCAGTAGCGAAATAGTCACCAAGGGGTCGACAGCATGGCTTGAAGGCGAAGTCCCAACTGCTCGATTCGGAAATCTCCTTACTGCAGATCGGAAAGAGATCGAATGTTTCCGATCCACTGCTGCTGTTATCGACGAGTATCTTGCTTCACCTCCAGGCAAGCCTCTGTCTCTTGCTGTCTTCGGATCACCTGGTGCTGGAAAGTCCTTCGGAGTAAAGGAAGTCATTAAGACCATGTTGCCTGACGCTAAGGGTCCTATCGAGGTCAACCTTTCTCAGTTTATGAATCATTCTGAGTTGCTATCTACGTTCCACAATATTAGGGACATGGCGCTGGCTGGGGATATGCCGGTCGTGATGTTCGACGAGTTCGACAGTGTCTTCGAACAGCAGGAGCTGGGTTGGCTGAAATACTTTCTAGCACCTATGCAGGATGGCTACTTCCTCGAAGATGGTCAACAGCGAAGTTTGAAGAAGGCTATTTTCATCTTCGTAGGCGGAACATCATCAAACTGGGCTGAATTCACCCAGGGTATGGATAAGGACGCAGACCAGAGGCCTGGTAGTCCTGCTGGTGGTGATGTTAAGACGGAGAAGGAGAAGGAAGACAAGGACAAGAAGGCCAAGAAGCCCGACTTCGTCAGCAGGCTGAGTGCGTACATCGACATCAGGGGTCTCAACAAGATGGGCAACAACGACGAAATGTACAAGGTCCGACGAGCAATGATCCTTCGAAGCACTCTCGCAGGCCGACTCGACTTACGCGGCAAGGATATTCCTATCGATGGCAGGGTTCTAAATGCCCTACTGGAGCAAGAGAAATTCCGCCATGGTGCCCGGTCTATCTCCCTTATTCTTCAGATGAGCGCCTTGTCTGGGCGGGCCGGATTTGAAGCTTCTGCGCTGCCATCTGATGAGCAGCTCGCCATGCATCTTGATGTGGCCAAGTTCAAGGACAATATCCGAATGGACCTTCATGGCGACAAGGGCCATGCGGGCGAGGCCGAGAACGCGGCTGACAACAATGCGGATGGGTACACGCAGATTGATGTTGAACTTCGCAGGGTCTTGATGAGCAGACCACGTGATTGAGGTATTCTTCAAAAATAGTGATATAAGGGTATGGTGGGGGAAACTGTGGAGGTATCTCGGTTAGCACTTATCTTGATTTTTAACGACTTGATGTAGTATGGCTTGTTAGGTATTAACGACTGAATCTTTTCTCTTAGCCTCTAGCGAGCGAACTTGATAGTCTCCGTGGATGAGACAGAAAGTTAAAAACCGTAAGCAGTTTTCTTTAATACCCTGGATTTAAAAGCAAAGAGATTCTTTATGTAATAAAAAGCTTTATCCATACCTTTGTTTGCGTTATCTTATCCAAGTAACACGGCCGCTTAACATTTCTGCCACCACTGTGGCTTACGCGAGAGAGCAGGGAAAAGGTAGTTCGTCAGGATTCATATCGGTCAAGTCTAACCTAGAGTGGGTTCCTCCTAACCAATTATAGATGTCCCTTCTTCTCAACACCTGGTTAAGCCGTCGCTTAAATATCGGCTAGCTCTACGTCAGAGCGCCTGTCGCCATTAGATCTAGGAAGTCTTTCCAGATCAAACATGTGGACCTGAATATTCTTTCCTAGCTGGCAAAGTGAAATCTTCATCAAATTCCAATAGCGCATAATAGTTCCCAACCCCAAAGTGAGCAGAATGAGGACAGTGGATAAGATGAAGAATGACAACTTGTGAGGGCGGAGAAAGTCAGGCGTAGCTTTTTCAGGCAAGGATAGCATAGCGGCTGCTAGCAGAGTCGGGTAACAAAGCTTCGATTGTTAATTGGCTGGGTGACCAAGTTGCTTATCGCAGAGACTGCTGAAGTATCACACTTACAAACATTAAGAAGCCATTTTGAGCCCGGACATCCTTCCAGGCTTTAGCTTGAAGGCTTGAATAGTGGATCTCTTCGTCAATCATCGCAAGGTGTATCTAGTTTAGGCATTATTAGCCTGGATCAATAAGTCACTAGGTAGGGGGACTTACTCCTCTTGAAAGCTCGTCACACAATTCACAGAGTTCTTGAAGGTCGCACAAAGTCATCCTCATATCGCTGAAGGTGAGCGAAATCTCAGGTAAACATGTGACGGAGAAGTCACTATCAACGTTATCTCGTATTCTGGAATTGTCCCAATGGTTGATTGTTCCTTTTAGACACTGGAGCAATAAGTGCAACAACTGTTTGGTTTGACGAATCCAAATAAGACCCTTGTCAAAGTCTAGCCTTTTTTCTGATGTCGTGTTCCCTGTGAATTTAAAGGTCTGTGGCACTGCTCGTTAGTTTAGTCAAATGGGACAACGTAAGTAATATGATCTTACGTTTACGTATCTTCAATGTTTAGTCGTAGTTTAAGGACCAGACACTGCCATTCCTCGTGAAAGCTTTTTACTCGGGTGTCCAGAACACATAAGAAATAGTCCCTGGGATCCAAAATCGGGTGGTCGGCGCCAAACGTACCCTCTAAGAAAGGGTCTGTCCTAACACTATCCTCGCCGTCAGTACAGTAGCCGTAGAGATCTTCGCGTCGACTTTCGGATTGGAAGTATGTGTCAACTAAACATAGTCCTGTCCAATGACAGCGATCAACCCCGGTAATTGATACAGAGGTCTGAGCTTCGCAGAGATAATCGGCCTCGCCAGAGTATGACTTTGATACGGATCCTGCTCGGAGGAAGCTGATATCACGAACTGTTCTTAGAGATTCGCCAGATCGCTTCGATCTGCTGTCCTGCGGTCGCATTGCTGTCGTTCTCCAGACGTAGGTAGGTAAGCAAAAAGACATGTGGAAATATCCCTGGGTTTCCGTTAGTTCCTCTAATTACCTTTGATACTTGAGCTGTATCTCACATCCATACCTGCAAAGAAAGAGAAATACCCGGCTGAAACTCCAAATACTTGTATAAGATATAGCCCAAGGCCTTTGCCTGCGAATTCCTTACTGTTGCAATAAGAACTGCGATTCCGTATTTGTCGATGTCCTGTATATATCTAAAAGAAGTATCAGTAGCGGGCAATGACCCTGTCACAGTGTGTCTTACATCAATCTCCGGTCTGCACTAAGCAGGAGAGGCCAATCAACTGGCATGGGTGGTTTGAACCGCTAGTGAGTGTCAATCTAGAATAAGCAGACGTCGTTGTGAAGGTGACTGACCCGTCCTCTCAACCTTTGGTAAAGGCTTTCTACACTTAGAGGCTCATAGTAGCCCAAAGAGACAGAGTCCATGCCATCATTCGTTCGATCGTCAAGCAGACAAGTCTTTCGGGATAAAAACCCAAGCAGGCCCGCGTATGTAGGTCCAGTAGCGAATAGCAGTCGTAAACCGTTTGCGTAAATTCTGTCAGGCGACTTATCTGACGTCCGGCTCGTAATCGTTCGAATAATAGAGTGAGTAGACTCTCACCCTCCTCGTCTGAATCCTCATCATCTATGTACAGACTGCACTCCGATTCCAAAAGTCTTTGAATTCTGTCTTGAGACTTGTCTTCGGACGAGAAACAAGTGCTGCCGCCTTCTGGCTCAACATCAACTTTTCGCAAAGCTGGTTTATAGGTCTTCACACCCTGTCCAACTCGAGGATGTCGGCGCTGGCGATAGCCTGTCTTCTTTGTCCTCTTCCTTCTTTTGTAGCTGCTATACTGCTCAAAACTTTGGGATGCTGTTGCTGATAACTCATATTTAGCCTGGAGTTTGCTAATCTGGGCATCGAGTACCGGGGAGCGACTCGCTGTAACCTGAACATTCGGCCAGCTGTCGATTGATATAAATCCCGCCGTATTTGGTAGGTTGTCATGTCCATCAGATGGCCCCGAAGAAACCCGAAACTCACTCAATGTCGTATGGTTCGGAAGCTGGCCAGGCTCTTCAAGGATGGAACTCGAATTTGAGGATAGACTAGAAAGGTTTGGAGGTTCTATCAGCGAGTTTTGAATGGTAATCTGGGTAACGATAGTAATTGGTCCCTGGAGTCCGCACTCTAAGGCCCGGAAGATTTCTGTTGCAGCGATAATGTACGCAATTCGGGTACCAGGACACCCACTGACCAAATGACCATACAAGGTGCCCGATGTTTCATCAACCACCGTGGCGCCAGAATCTCCTTCTGCAACGACTCCGTCTAATTGGACCCCGTAAAGTTTTTGAGGGCGCTGTTGGTTTCCCCTGCCTAGAAATGTTGTTCCAGGTACCAAAATGCCCTTCACCACACCACTCGAGCCTGTAATAACGATGACTCGACGCTCCTCGCGCCCAACGTCCGCAACGTCATGAATCGCCATCGGTCTCGTGTTATTAACTGTGCCTGAAAGCACTATATTGATTTGGTCAACCTCCCTTGGCGAATGGATTGACACAAGAGCATAGTCAAGGCCTGGTGTGTCTCTATCTTTGGAATGCACAGCAATTGTCCCCACCCTTATGATAGGTGGTTGTTCAAGGCCCTTAGTTCTGTAAGAGCCAGTAGGATCCTCGTTGGTGGTTGTGTAGTCTGCATTCGCGTGGCTTCCGTAGCCGAGAGTGTTTGCCTCTGTCTTCTCTGTCTTTGCATCCGATGAATCAGATTGGGACAAATTGAAGATGGACACGCTGGCTCTGCGCAAATCCTGTTCGAAGACAGAGAAGTCGTCGCCGGAGTCGCTGTCACTTTGACCATCGGAGGAACAGGCATCAGGATCCAGCCTTGAAGGCTGATGGGCACCATTGGGCAGGTCGGCAATGTGCCCAACAGTCAGCTGATAGAATCTGCCGTTATTTGCAACAACAACCCCGCCCGTAGAGTGTCGGTAGACCTCCATAGTATCAGGATGCGTGACGAAGAGTCGCCTTCCCACGGTTGCACTGTCCGATATTGCAAAGATCGGGATACCGGCAGCTGGGTCGGAAGCATTGTCAAGTACCTGACCTAGTGGTTTGACTTCGAGAGCTAACTCTCTGACTGGGACCAGTTGTTCAAGTGGGAAATCAATTGACCCGAGACAGAAGCCAGGATTATTGCGGATGACTGGGCTGTGCCGCAAAGATTCTTTAGCTCGTCGGCCGATCGATACATCTGCACAACATATCATTACGGTCGGCCGAGAAGCTTCCTGGGTCCTCCCGATCATATAAACGCGGAAGTAAATATCGCCATCATTTATATCGACGTTCTTCAAGAAAGCCTCGATTTCTGGCTGGATATCTTCTTCAAATTTCTCGAAAGCTGTACCCTGAGGCCACCAGGCTTTCTTTCGACCAAGCCTGTTGGTCTCGATCTCGAGACCGCAGCACTCTGCCGCATTGGGCCACTTTTGTCGAAACCGCAGCATTTCTACTGAAGACGAGGTATGCCAGATATGATGTTGATCCTGGTTAGGGAGGAACCTAACATCAAGCTTTGAGTAGATTGCCGGCAGAACAAAAAACGCGACAGGACGAGTGACTGCCTGCTAGGTGTGGTTTGGGAATTCAGGAAACCCTCAAAGGCGACAATTGATGTAATTGTTAGTTGTGCGGCAAAGGCGGCAGCAGAAAATATTACAATTGGAACATGGGAAAAGTAATTGGGCCACGTCGGCAAGTCAGCAAAGGTGTTTCAAACCACACGAGGAAATGAGGCCCGACAAGACGCCCAGTTAATATGAGGATATCATACCTCAAGACGTTGATTGGACCACTCTCCAGTACTTGCAAGTCTGCCTTGTGCCACAGAAAAGCTCTTGCATCCATGGTGGTAGGCTTAAGTGGTTTGAGTGGTTTGGAATAACGTTGGGTTTCGGGCGATGCCCAATTGCACATTGCGCAAACCTTTTATACAGGGCATAGACCTTCGGTACATAACGTAATGCGTGTCTCGAAAAGAGGAGGCGACAGCCACTAAATCTAGTTATAAATCCTAACGAAACAGAACCTTCGCACAGGCTTCTCGACTCGGGCATTGGCAAGATGGAGCTCCAACAGCCGGAGCCATCTAAGGGTTCTGGTTCCCAGGAACTGGTCCGCCTAATGTGGAACTTCTCTACATCGCGCGTTAAGCTTTTCAACGGCGATCCAGTTGGGGACCTGTGTCACTCCGCATACTTCGAATATTATCAACATCAATGGGGGCTTACAGTGGCCCATTACGATGGGAAGTTCGTGGCCCTAAAGACGCCGGAGGCTATGAACCAACCTGTCCAGCAGTTACATTGTAATCAATCTCGCGCCGAACTTTTGACATTCATTAAAGGCATGAGTGAGGAACATGTGTTGCAGGAGGCATGTGAGAGCTCTTTAAATCTGGCAGTGCGGCTTTTACTCATGGTGAAGATCGGAGCCATTAAATACCAGTTCCATGTCCGCCGGTGCCTAGGCTGGAATGAAGGGTTTCCACGCGACTTTATCAAAGCAAGATTGGGAAAAGAGCCCGTTCTGGATTTCAAGGACATCAAAATTCCTAAAGCGTTCAATGGATGGAGTCTAGAGAAAGTGGGCGGCATCAAGATCTGCTTCGATAACAACTTAGCAGATCACTGGCTCCTTGTTGAGGATGAATCGAAAGTGCTGGTCTTTCCTTATGTATCTTTTCTAGAAGTACAGAGACTGAAAGGGTTGGTAAACACCTTGAACCGATGCTGCTAGTGTACTAAATTCCATGGCAGTGAAGAGTCTTTGTTTCCGATCGGCTTTGCTGAAGAGACCTTGCGAACTCTCGCTCTGTTATTCCCCCAATCCTTAGTCAGCGGTTCAGGCACCAGAAAAGGATCTCGGAAAGCTTGGTTCAGCGACCTCTGTTCTAAACGAAGTATGTTCGAAATTGACTCGCGTCTGAGTAAGTGTGGCACCCTCCAAGCGGAGGATCGCCAGATCAAGGACTTCAAATTCTGGAGAGACAGGCTTGTTATTCTCAAACAAGCTTACGACGAAGCCACACCCTCAAGCTTGACACAGATCTGGCATGATAACCGGAATGGCGTGCAGTGGTACACCTTTTGGCTTGTAATTCTAATCTTTATTATTACGGCTATCTTCTCAGTTCTTCAATGTGTTCAAGGCGGCTTTCAAGCATGGGGCAAGGGTCATTGAATTACAATATGGTATACTTCAGGTCGCGCCCTATGAGAGAGCCGTTAGTACCTAGAGCCAGAACTGGGGAGATGCCTGCTTCTACGTTCCACTAGTTCCGGGGATAGTAAGATGTAAAATGGCATTTGCAGTTGCAGGCTGTATCTCTAAGCACAATCTTTGGTTGAACAGCTTGTATTTACACGGCATTGCCATCAGTCCTGTCTCTGATCTTATAAGTACCCCAGTAGTTATAGAACACATGAAATAGCGTTGAGGAGACCAATGATGAAGCAGAGAGTGGCCGGCAAATCTACGGCGAACGATCTCGTTGTATGCATCTTCAACCACCGTTCAAGTGATTCAGTACTTGGAGCATCACAACCAATACGCCGTATGCTGGCAAACAGGTTGATCTCCCTTGGACCGAAAATGATTAGATGGCCGGCCGCAAACGAAGCTCCAGTTAGGTAAGACAGGATGGGAATCCAATCCCCTGAGGCGTTCCAGATAGTTGTGGCATTCGCCATCCCACCCGCTGAACTCAGCGTAAAGCTTCCAAAAGCGACTCGCGTTCCTGTTGGTTGCCAGTTGGCGAACCATCGCGGTAGCAGCTCATTGGCTTGCGCTCGATATACCCGTTTTGTCCAACAAGAAAGGAAGAAGTATTCGTCGTAGGTAAATTGTAAGCTGACGATTGATGATATGACCGGTAGAAGACGCAGGAGTTTGGTCGGTAGAGCAAGTCCGAAGATGATTGATAGCAGGAAATTTGCAATCAACAGTTTAGTAACTTGTCGTAAAGTCTTGCCAAAGCTGCTAGACTCAGATTGTATTGTGGTCATTGTGGGTTATGATATTGGCAATGGCAGAAGTAACCATATAGCCGACGAGGAGAATGAAAAGATGTAAGTCAGTCACGGAAAGAGTCCTGAATACATTCGTATTTATACCAGAAGAGTGGCAAAGGTTCCTGCTACCATTCTGGTCCTAGGTCTGAGTAAGCTGAGGGGTGCTTGATCTTGACTGGCTCGCTATTACGCCCCAACCTATGAGAACGCTCATGTGCCTTTATAGTCAGATTGCCTAAATACAATCACAATAAGATCCTCGCATAGCCCGGTTATATAGGTACAACAACTTTGAAGTTGTCATCCTGCAATAGATATTGCTTCTTTGAATGTCTTTGTTAGACCTTTCGGTGGGATTTCCTGTATGAAGTCGGCAAAGTTCGCCTTGACCAGAGTCAGGAACTTCTTGAGGCCCCAGCAATGGCTGAGAGATGCGTAGAGAGTTGAAGGATCGATCGTGGTTATGTCAGGGCAAAGTCTCGTCTCACCATCGCCTAAAGCAATGAGTCTACTGGGCAACTCTTTGGGTGTATCGCCAATGTGCGCCAGACAACTATGACCCGCATTGCAATCTCGAAGCCATCTTTTGCTCTGTTCGTGAGAGTGAGATAACTTATCTTCCTCCCCAGTCGAGCTGAGATACGTTTCTGTGTCCAGGTTGAGCTATTCTCCACATACCTCAACGATGCGCTCATACCTTGCTGAACATAAGGAATCAATAAAGCCCTAGCTTGCCACACTTCCCTCTCCACGTACATCTCTGTTGCAGGATCTTCACACCAATACATATTGACGTAGAACAATATCCCTTTCTCTGGGCGGGTTCCGTCGGAGCAACTATGTATGTCAAGCGTTCCGACGTTGCTGTCGCTCTCCTCAGGAGCATTTGAGGGGTACAGGGACTTCCTGTTGATCAAGAGTTGGGCGCAGAGACGACAACCATCCTTGGTCGCCGCCTGGACTTCGGCAACGGTATCATGCCATCTGAAATGCAGCTCAAGCCGGTCTTTTGGAGGCCAGCAAATAAATGGTTGTTTGCATTTTTCACGGAGTGATTCTGGTGTTTGAAGAATGACCTGTGAAGGAGGCGTGGCTGTGTGAGTTTTGTGAGTTTTGTGAGTCATCTGTAGAGGGAAGTTAAACCATCGTAACCATTAACTGAGCAACATTTAGATACCTTCTGAGCGTAACTGAACAGACTTTGATAAGACCTTGTGAAAAGAAAGATATTAAATTACGGGTATAAAGGAAGTAACCAAATCTCTCTGAGGATGAATCTTCAACCCCGCTCCAAGAAAGAAAGCTACTGGAAGTCCTATCTAGCCCTTTCAGGTTAGTGCTTACGTGTGTATACTTAGAAAGAAGACTTCGCTTCAAAGTAAGGTATATTAAGTCAACTACAATAGGTATGTTGACGATAAGTGAAGCTAACTACTGAACTTAACATTTGATAGGATGAAGAATAATAGTTTATGAGGGCGCAGAAGACTAACTCTCACCGGGCGTCTTCCTCCCAACCACATACTGAGGTGCTTCATTTCCAATGTATGCAGGACCATACTGCTCAGCTGGAAGCTCTGTCGGTGGCACTCGAGTTACAGAGACGGACTGATGAGGACTCATATGGTGTGGGCTCAGAGGCTCAGACACTTCTCCCCAATGTCCAGTTGATGTAAGCGGACTGACAGTGCTCGGAGGGTAGGCCATGTTTGCTCCATTGAAGTGATACTGGTTTTGCGTCATGGAAGACTGGCGCCTCTCTTGGCGACGACGGTTGACCTTTCTACCAATGCAGAACCATACAAGAAGGAGAAGAGCTAGCCCTGCAGCGCCGCCAATGGCGATTCCAGCAATAGCACCGGTAGAGAGCTTGGACCCATGGTCCGACGAGCTGTGTGATGGCTTCGCAGGTGATGTACTGGTTGTTGAGGGAATAGAACGTGTTGGTGAACGCTCTGCTATCTCCGGTCTACGTCCCAGTAAGTCTTGAAGGGGCTTGTTCCCCTCGTCAAAACCGTCCTTGGGAGCCACGAGCTTTGCACCGCCTTCCTTATCTCCACCAGTGACATTGTACACGTCAGCGGGAACGACGTTCTCGGTAATTTTGGGGTCGTATATAGCCCAATAGGTCTCGTTGTTACCAGCGTTGTTGCTAGTACCAGTCCAGAAATTGTGCAGCGACCATGCATCATACGCTAGATCACAAGCGTCTGTGTCGGTGTACGTGCCTCCAATGACGAACAACTGAGACATGTGCTTTACCATGTTGCATGAAGCACTATAGTGACCGTACTCTGGCGGCAGTGTGGCATTTCCACGATGGTCTGGGTAGGCTTTGACCCAGGTGAACGAAGGAAGAGTCAAGATGTAGATATCGTTGAATGAAGTGGCGTTGACAACCGGTGGTTGCACGCTCAATCCTCCCCAGAGGTAACTATTGTTTTGTCAGCATAATGCTTCATGTTCAAGGAAGGTTTCCTTACATGTTGAAAGTGGACTTGTCAGGTGCCCACGCCACATCGACACAAAACTGACGTCGGTTCTGAGGTATCTCGCCCGTGGTTGTCTGAGTTGACCACAGTTTCCCTTGGCGTCGAAGACAAAGACTTCATCGAATGCCTGGGGAGCCTCTGTGTTGTTCCCATGGGGATCGACAATGCCTCCGAGGTACACAAGTAGTCCGAGAGAATCACCCGCCGGGATCCAAACCATACCTCCTTCGGCTCTCGGCTGTTTACTCGGGCCAGCGGCCTGGGTAAACTTCCCCGAGTCATAGGAGTAGGTATAGAAATTCGAGCTCATTGTTCGATCGTCGGTCCATCCGCTCATGGATGCGTTGCTTATCCATCCTCCCAAGTAGTAACCCATCCCGGTCTCGGAAACGCCTACGCCGGCACCATACGAGGCAATCTTCGGTGGGGGAGTTATGTCGGGAGTACCGAAGTCATCCCATTTGTCGTAGATGATGTCGTAGCTCAGCAGGCTGTAAGGCTCTTGGGAGAAACCGTTGTTCCATTCGCCGGCGTAAAGGTAAAATCGCTTATTGACGCTATCACCCCAAAGTATACCACCATGTACACTCGGGATACTAATTCATAGACTTCAGCATGGCAGTACAGTAATTGTTCCAATCATAGTTAGCGTACCTATCATTCTTGCTCAGGCTGATGTTCAAGTCCGGCCAAAGATCGCCACCTCGTTTCACGAGTTTATTAAGATCGTGGTATGCTAGCCAAGTATCTGGAGAAGGAATTCAGTCATTTAATTCTAGCCATGAGTTGCGTTAACTTACTAGAGTAGTTCTCGTGGGTTTGCTGGAAGTCATCAAAGTTGACCCAACCACCGTCAATGTAAAGTTTGTCGTCAATGACAGTGGTTTGGTGGGCGAATCTCCGACAAAAGTCATCCTTTGGGTTCTTAGCGGCCACGAGATGGATGATGAGTAAGAACAGAAGCATGGTTCTTGTCCACGCGGACTTAATGGTCTTCTGTAAAAGGCAATTCATGACCGCTCGTAACAAGGGAAGTGAATGAGGGAGGCGAGAGTCGCACTGCGGCAGGCTGCTCAGCTAATACCTCGGGGGGGATGCTCGTTGTTTTGAGCCAGGTGGTCATCATTTAGTTCACCCTGAACCTGCAGGCTGAAGAGGAGATTAACGCCACTGGGGCGGTCGACATGATGGAAGTGTAGAGTCATAACAGGGTATCTAGGTAAAGGGTGTCATGGGCCCAGAGCTATTGAAGCTTCATGTCGAATCAGGGCGGGAGAAGCCATGCCATGCCAGATCTAGACCAAGCGATCGCAATTTATGTGCTGGATGAGGCTCTACAGCTTGAGCAAGCATGGGAAATGCGCTAAGCTTATCAAACTGCTAACATAAGTGTTCCTCAGAATCCTGGCCAGCAGATGGATCCTCCACACATTTTCAGCAAAGATACAGTAAGAGCTCTAGTAAATTGAACGTTCACTTTCAGTAGTACTTAGAGTTACATTGAAGTTATAGTAGTAAACAAGGTATTACTGATACTGTAGAGTGTATACCTATACTTTTATTTTACTTTTTCCACCATATTACAAGCCTGTAATGCTTGATACCTAAGAGCAATCTACAGCGCATCGGATTTCAAGAGACAATTAAATGAAATGGATTCAGCTTGGCTTGAAGTACAGGATGACATGGTGTAAGGCTCAATTGAGTGCACCAATTACAGAAACTGATTAGCGAAGAATATTAGTGGCGCGTTGCAGTCGGCGTTCTCATCGGAAGCCACACCTTTCAGCTTCTGCACGCGGTTTGTCCCGTTGCTGCAATCCTTCAAGATGTCTAGTTGTACTAATCTGACCTCCGCGATTAAACGGACAGCTTTGCAGTGCGAACAAACTCTGATTGGTCCACGTGGGTAAATCAAGACAGGGCTTTCAAGCCTACAGCCAAACACGAAAATGTCTTCCGACAAGGCGCCCGCCTTATTTATGGCTATCATACATCAAAGAGATGATTGGAGCACTATCTATTGCTAGTAGGTCTGGCCTTTACTAGAGGCCCACTTAGACAAATGACAAGAGGAGTATTGATCATATGATGGACACGGGGTTGACGCCGAATTGCACATTGAGAAGGTATTGTGATACAGAGTTTTGCCCAGTACATACCAAAGTACAAGCTGCCCATGATGGTTGCTTGTGAGCTTATCAACCGAATCAAGTAACATCGAGGAGACCTGTAAGGAAGCAGAGAACGGCTGGCAGAGACCAAGGTGCCTCAATTGGTGGTGAACCTTTAAGCCAATTGCCATTGTATTCCCTTGATTTTTCTGACATAGGCCTCGCGCAATCGAGTGAGAAGAGAGAATTCAGTGGTAGCCTGCTTCTGGGAGGTGAAGCAATCATCAATCGACTCGAGGGTAGGTGGGGCATTGACGGAAAAGGTGTGTTTCTCTTCTGCTGGAAGCAGGGCTTTCATAGTCGTGAGAAGATTCAGGAAGTTATTAATGGCTTCAGGACTTTTGTTAATAATCTCGCTGGACTTGACTTGGAAGGTGGAGAGATACGTGTTAACGATTGGCATTTCGCTATCAGGCTGGCCAAGAAAAGATACATTATCGTGTTACTAATCTGACACTGAACTTAAAGCATTTATTAAAGATAGAAGTAATAGATACACATCAGAGGCAACATGTTACACCCGTCCAGATGTAGCCATCAGGCCTCTACTTATAGCAACTAAGAATAACCTTTGAAGTTGCTATATTTAAGTTTCGAATCCTAACCCTCTTCCTTCTCTTAACCTAGATAAGAGATAAGATGATAAGCACATCTTTCCACATCAAGATCTATCTTTGATAACCATCCACCAGCCCTAAAGGGAGCTCATTCCTGTAAGGGAAGTCCTCACTCAATCACGTAATTAAAGCCCCCAATCCGGTTAGTTTCGCATCTCCCCAGCTTGAACTGATCAAAACAGTGGCCGATGTATGCTTCTCACGTCAGCGGGAAACCTCCCAAGCGAGCAAATAAGACGACGGTTTTCGCATATAAACAGTTGTAACGATTCAGCCGCACAGGCCCACTGGAATCAAGACAGATTGTGACTGGTCTGGGCTTACCCCTCCGTTACATTGGCGAAAAGACAATCGACCGAATTCTCAACTCGGCCATTTCTACAGCTTCGGCTTCGCCGAGCTTTTACCAGCCTTGACAGTCGGGTAGAGTCTTTAGTTATTTATTTATCACGGCCTACTTTCCGTTCTCCAGTATAAACCTTGCATCAATGCGGATCTCGCCGATGAGCTTAATCGGCGATGCTACGTTACCAGCACAATTGTATCACCCCTGCACCATTGCCCTCAGCCCTAGGAAGCTAGGCGATACGGGCGCAGCTAATACTAATCTACAGCATCATTAAAAGTTTACGGGAGCTAAAATTTAGATACCGCTCGGTAGCGATGGATCAAAGTTAGCTTCGTTAAAATATAATGTATATCAGAACTGTCGCAGTAGTAGATATCGCAAATCTGAGCTTATAAAGTATCGGTACACATTCGTTGATTCAGTGTATCATTTGATCGTACAAAGAAGATTGTTGTCTTACAGCATCATAACATTCTTCCTTGGTAACATTCTCCCTGTCAATCTCACTTAATTCCAGTAAATGAGCGGCACAGGCTTACTAGGCTAAGGTAACTGCAATTCAGGTGGGCCCCGGCACAATCAGAATACAGGGGCGGGATATAAATTAAACGGCGATGGCCATTAGGTCCATTGAATGACAGGGATAATCCGCCAATGATAGAATAGCATCATTAAGCCCCCCGTGGACACAGCTACACAACTAGTATTTTGATTCGTGATACCTTCGTCAATTTGAGCGAGCGTACGATACACAGCCACGAATGACTGGATGCAAGGTAAGAACGGTCAGATTTTAGCGATGCCGCCTTTCGCCGTGGATTTGTTGGCAGGGTTCAGCTGTCATAAGTCCAAATCCGAAGATTCGTGATATAAGAGACCTTTGTGAATAGGCATATAAATAGTAGAATCTGGGTCACGCAACTTGAATCAGACTCAAGCTTCAACCCAGACATTCTACTCATACTCGAAATACGTAACAGTATATCAGATTCTTTCAACAGTTTACTTGTATCCATCATGACAGCTCTGAAGGACTTTACGGCCGCCCTGACGGCCTTGGCTTTCCTTTCTCATGCTCCCCTTGCCTACTCCCAGAACACACCTAACGAGAATCTCGTCCTCGCCGATTGTGGCATCGGGCTAGGTGTAAACGGCGGTTCGACCTCTCGCGAGGCCATCTACTACAATGGCGACGTGTGGACTGGTCAGGGCGAGAACACCAACAAGCCAACCATGATGGTCAACGTGCCTTGGACTGGCAACTATCCTTGGGGATGGGTTGGATTCACTATGCCTAACGGCGACGAATGGGCTGTGCTGAATGACCTCAACGTCAAGGACCCCAACGAGGCTGGAATCGCTCACCATTCGTATGAACCAACGAAAGACCTCACATGCTACTCTTATCACCGGGACAGAGTCTTCCAGTTGGCCGATGGAAAATGGTGCTCCAGCGCATACGTATGCAACCATCGAGGCCGTCCTGACCCCAACAGTAGCCCGGAGAAACCCAAGCCTGAACCTCAGAAGATGGAAATCCGTGGCTCAATGAACAGCGACACAGTCGAATTCTGGAACAAGCCCGCCAGCCATGTCATGAAAACAGCCAAAGAAGCATTCTTGCCAGACCTGTTCAAGTGTGACACCACCAAGCGTCAGCTCAACGACAAATGTACCATTAGTTGGGAATGCAGCGGGGATCCTGTCAACAAGTCTTTGGAGCGCATGGCTGCGGTGTTCGAGACGCTGGCTACGCACGACAAGTTTACAAGCGAGCGAGAGGTGGTGACAGAGGTCTGCCGACAGCCTGATACGCGACCTGGCAAGGAAGGCCAGTGTCAACGATATGAGCAAAAGATCGACCGGTACTACAAGCTTCCTGCCAGCATGGAGCTCACCATGCGCAACATTCCAAGGGACGGATCTGGAGATAATTCTAACGAACATGGGAACATGAAGTATACGATCGAGTGTGACACCAAGAAGTTGGACTGCGTATTCTGCAATCTGGTTGGAAAAGCCTTGACTATTGCTGTGCCTGCTGCTGGTGCGGCTGTCTCGTTCAGTTGTCGTTTTTGCTAAGAATGGCTTTCTGTAGTCTGACAATAAAGTTCTAGCATTGCCAAGATACACGGAAGCGATACACGAAGTATTTGGTGGTGTTGAAATTCTAAGACGAGTCCTGGTCCGATTGTGCGGAATACATGTATTCCGATGAATAGACGTTAAGTGGATTACCAGATAGATTGATTTGATAGTAGTGGAATATATATCAATTGCTGCACGAAAAAGATAATAAAGCTACCAAAAAGTGCACTCAGTTTAAAGATCCCGTATCTGGACGATGCTCCCACTACTTGTGGTTTGCTTGTGACACATCTTGCGATAACATATCTGGCAATGCGTACTTGATAAAACAACACTCTGCAATGCGCTATGAAAGTTTTATTTCTCTAGACAATAGTAATCTCTTCCGTCTTCCAGCTATCGCAAAACTTCAAGCCTCCATCAGGCGCGTGATTCCGAACCTGCGAACTAAATAGACCAACACGATAGAAAGTATTTGCCTTCTGAGTTGGATAAAGAACAAGTCCAAAGGCACATCTTTCGTCATTTGGAGCTCCATCCTTTCGAATCTTTCCATAGGCCTCTAAGCCATAGTCGTCACAGCTTCCCAAAAGTAGGAAGAGCACGCGATGAATATCAGGATCGTCACTTTCTGGGTGCCCATCCAGAAAGGTCTGCATAACTCTGGTTTCACCATTGAGATACCAGTCGTAATTTCCCTCTGTCCATTCGGAGTAGGCGTAAATGAGAACTCTTCCTTCTCTAGTCGTCGGACCTTGGCAGAAAGTACGATGTAGCCGCTCTTTAAAGTCCCAAATGGATCCAGTCCCTCGACAGTGCATTGGGCATCAACGATATTGCATTCCGGCGCTGATTGGTACTGAGACTGACCTGGATAAAAGCCCCAGGTCCCGAATTCCATGCTGTCCAATCCGGCAGCCCAACTCCAGGATGGTGCAACATATGGACGAGAAGTAATTGTGTTGATTGATGCCAAGAATGGCTGTCTTTTCATCGAAGAAGAACAAGCACAGTACCAGAAGAGGCTTAGAAAAAGATCCTTTTTCCAGATACCAGCGAGGTATTGATCTTCAAGGTGTTCGGCAAAGAATCTGGCCAGCCCAGATATCGCGGGAAGTTTATCCTTCTGAAAGGTCAATTCTCTATCGCTGTAGGCCGATACCAAGTCATGGGTCACTCCCTGCTGAAACAGGTTGAACCAAGTCGCTGTATCATCCTCCTCCATGTTATCGAGTGTCACCATGGTCCTTCCGAATGTCAACAGCTGACTTGACAGGGCGACCTCCTGGAACACCCAGCCACGGTCCCTCCACGGTCCCGAGCAATCGTCCAAATGGTCACTTTGAACGACACAATCCCAATTGCCGCTTGAATCATTCCATGCAATGAGTCGATATGTGCCCTTGACCGTTGGTTCAAGGGCTTCGGGTTATTTCCGACATTAGCTTCAAGTTAGCAAATTAACGCAGTGCAGGGAATAGTCTCATCTTGTTGTCGATCTCTACATTGGGCTTCAATTGTATTCCTACCCTATATGACACAGCAGATCACAGATAACGTTCCTGATCTACAATTTTTGGCAGGGATATCAAGGCTGAACCAGGCAAAGCCGCCCGCGGATTGCCGAGCTATCCGGTATCACATATATTATCTGGATGTCTGGAGCCGGAAGGGGACACGAATTCAGTACTCAGCTAAATCATGTACAGATTGCATGCGAGGACGGGCGTGGCTAATGCGACGGTGATCCGCCAAGATTTGCATACGAGCCCTACTTGTCACTTATTGGGAAGAATAAATCAGTCTTTCTGCTTTGTACGCAATAGTTTCGTCTTAATTTCTACGTAATATTGTATAACAAAACTAGGCGGAGACATCCTTCTGACCCGATGCAGCAGCCTTCTCAACACCATCCACTACATCTTGAACAGCGGAAAGGAATGGCGAGTGCGAAGCTTTGCTCCTGAAGACAATTGAGTTCGGCCCCAGAATGCCGGCCATCTGTTCTTGTACAGCTGCAGGGATCGCCTTGTCTTCCTCGCAGATAAAGTACAGGCAGTGCATATCCTGCCAAGGCTCGTAATCAGTCTCATCCGTAAACGCACGGATGCACTCATGTGTCAGTGCGTCAACTGCCTTTTTCTGCGCATCGGCAGACATATCGTGGTAGAAAACTTCTTCCGGGGTGTCTGCAAACACTCGCTCGCCCTATGTCCAGCATGTCAGCGATGTCCTTCACTACTAGAATTATTGCAGCACTATTTACCTCCACACGCATCCAGGGTAGCCAGTTTCCTCCAAGCATTTTCAGAAGACTTTGACCTGTGGGAACTACAAACGCGGAGAGGTAAAGGAAGGTAATGATGCCTCCCGCTTTGCCCTCCTTCTGTCGCTGCTTGTAGCCCAAACCTCGGACGGCCTGTGCTCCGACCACACCTCCATATGAGTGGACGACGAGAACGATCTGCTTGCCCTGCTCAGCTAGAGCTTCGAGAACTTTGCGGACCTCTGCAGCGTCATCTGGAACTCCCTTGGTAGGCGGCTCGGCTCCGACAGTTGGGAACGCAACAGCCTCCGTCTCCCAGCCCCGGGCCTGCAAAGCATCGCGAGCCAATTGGAAGGAGTCAGGCGAGTGCCATGCCCCTGGAATAAAAACAATGGTAGGCTTGGAGTCCATGATATATGTGGTTCTCGGTATTTAATAACAAGTGAACGGTTTTCAAGGACCCTTTTCCCCCATGACGCGTTTGGACGGTACTTATAGCTGTATACTTCCCCCCTCATTGCAATTGTCAATTAGCTTCTTAAAGTTAGGTTCCTGGGTCTTTGTCGGAATTTCCGCGTGTAGCGCAGTTAATCTCAATTTTAACACGTTGAGGCTAATGGGAATACCCTCTTCTCATCCAATCAATTGTGTTAGTGTGTTTTAGTAAGTAATTGTCCCACTGTATTAACCGTCAACGTCTCGTTAAGGGGCTAATTTCAGTCGAATCCACTTAGCATCAGGGTCCGTTGAATATCTTAAATGCAACGTACAGGGTTTACGCTGCACTGAAAAGGAGCATAACCTATAGCTACAGATTGGATACGGTAGTGACTTCAGTTGATCAAACTCGAGCTTGGATGACTCAGACAGTGTTGAATGCTGGTATAGTTGAAGAACAACATTATTTGTTATCTTACTATCTGATACCTGTTTGGACATGTTAGACAACAACAAGCGGACCAGCGGATCAGACGGAATGTTGAAGATTGTCAAATTATACTAGGCTATTTTGAGCATAGTATGGACCGCGGCATCCGGGATAAAATCCTACAGAAAACATAAATACCACGCTGCTGGGATATGATACGAAGTCCCGAAACAGCGGTTCAATTGTTTCATCTGATTCAACAACCTCGAGTCCAGTCATTGCGTTGTGGCTGCTTATACCAAGGTCAAAAAGCAAAACAGCGAAAAAGGTATGATTGGCTTTCGTCATCATGTCTCTCTGGAGGGCGAGCGGTAGACTAGCTGGAAATAACAGGCGAGGGTGCGGCCCGCGACCAACGGGTTTTGCGCGGTGCCGCATTTCAATGGGTCCGAAGAGGCACTAACTTCCATAGGGTCAATAGTGTAACGCTGCAATCTTCACTGGTCCCGTACTTTCTGACTCGCTTGTTTTGATCTTTGCTTTTTTGATACGCGTCCTTGCACATTTGTCTACCAAAGAGGATTAGTAAGGCAGTCAGGCCGCGACTCGGCGGAAATTGATATTTGACAGACGGGACAGAGGACGGACGGGCTCGATCCCATTGGTCACTAGGAGAAAGAGGATTGCTTCCCCCGAGACTAGACTCTGTGGCTGACAGAATTTTGGCATCTCCCTTGTCTGATCGCCATAGTCTAGTCAGATTCGGAGTGAGATTTTCACCTGTTTTGCTTTCAACATCGCACCATGATGCAAGTGTCAAACTCTAATCTCGGCCGTGCAGGATTCTTCTTCTCCCTGGCGTTGGTCCAGTTCCTTCATCTTGGTGACATTTCTTCATGCGAAACTTTTGCGTTTTTCCTTTCTACTTCCACTCTGTCTCCAAACATGGCGCGTGACCTGAATGCCGACAGGAGCACTGAGCTTAACACCACGACGACTGTGGTCTTGGTGCTCTCTGCTGTGTTTGTCGGGCTACGGTTTTGGGCGCGATACATGAGAATTGGTTACGGAAATGATGATTGGCTGACTCTAGTGTCGCTGGTAGGTTGAGTTGGTGCAGTTACTTGTACAAGCTAACAATGGGCTAGGTTTTTGTTTTTATTACCGGCGGACTTAACTATGGCAGTGAGTTGACACCATTGAGCCTCATCGTCAACGCTAACAGATACCAGTGATTGCACATGGCCTGGGAACGCACTTCGACCGTGTCGACCCCGCAGATCAAATAATATTCTTGAAGCTACTCCTGGCTTTCGAAAACATATACGTCACAGCGGTGATGATGATCAAGCTTGCCCTCTTGGCAATGTACTTACGCGTCTTTCCGTCTCGAGGCTTTCGATTGATATCCGCCATCATAGCCGCAACGGTGGTTGCATGGTGGATTGCGATTTGCGCTGTGTGTATATTCCAGTGCCATCCGATCAAAAAGGCCTGGTTGCCGTTGATTGACGGCAAATGTATTGATCTCAAGGCCTCTTTCATCGGCAATGCGGTTCCGAATATTGCGACAGATGTGGCGATTTTGTGTTTGCCTGTTAGGCAGATCTTGAAGTTGCAGGTCAACACGGCTCAAAAGTTGTCGTTATTGGTTATTTTCATGCTTGGAAGTTTGTAAGTTCTGACCTTGGCCTTTTCAAGAACTGTTGTTGACTTTTTAGTGTTTTATTCGCCAGTATATACCGATTCACGACCATTATGCAATTCGATCCTGTCGACACAACATGTAAGCAGCTCAAGCGACATATACTCGACACTCAGCTAACAAGTATAGGGACACTTGCGACAGCTTGCACCTGGTGTGTCGTCGAAGTAGCCTGCGGAACCATCGCTCTATGTCTGCCAACCTTGAGACCTCTGATGCTTATGGTCTCTTCTAAATTCGAAAGTGTAGGGTCAAGAAATGCTACGGGCAAGAGTAAAATACCCACAGAGCTGGTAACGATCGGTGGAACAGGGGGCAAAACCGGCGCGTTTCAACGGATAAACGACGAATTCGAACCCAATTCAAGTCAAAGGGGGCTTGCTATGAGGGGTGAGAGCGCGCCACATGGTGATCAGAGTGATCAAGACTCTGAGACACATTCGCATGAGGGGAAGATTGATCCTGGACGGTAACAATGATCTAGACGGTAATTCTATTCGTACCTAAGAAGCTTCATTATCTGTGACATGTCCTTGCCTTTCTCCTGCATCTTCCTAGCGATATTAACAGGCGTCATGCCCTTCCCGTCCAAGGCTTTAGGATCCGCTCCATGCTCTAAAAGCATCCTTGTGACACCGACATGTCCAGCTTCAACAGCAGTATGGAGAGGCGACCCATGCTCTGATGGGCGAATAGAATCAGTCTCAGGTCGTGCCCCGCGCTCCAGCAAACGACCCATCATAAGTTTATTTCCCAGTCGAGCAGCAGCTCCTAAAGCGCCTGAGCGCTCGAGCCTTGCGCCATGTTGCAGCAGTATGTCGATCACGGCGGGGTCTTTGTAAAGTGCAGCGGTTATGGCTAGAGGGTATGTAGCTGCATCCGGGTTGGGGCGAGCCGTAATGGTCGAAGGGCATGTTGATTGCTGTAGGCTCTCGCGCCAGTAGTGCTTTCATGACCGGAATTGAACCTGAGCGGACTGCATTTCGAACGATCTCTTCGTTGAATGGAACCGAATCGAATTTGGTCAAGAGAAAGTTTACCACATCGAGATGCGATCCTCTTGCTGCCGTTGCGAGAAGTTCTTGCACAGCCTTATCAGATAGAGACTCCTCATCCTCCGAAAGAATAGTCTCCAGCTGGCTCAGATCTCCAACCGAGGCGTGGGTAATGAGTCTGTCCTCAATGGTAGAGGTCATTTTTACATTGAGGCGCGAAAAAAGAGGTCTCCGTAGAATGATTCAAGGACGAGTTAAAGCGTAAAGACATGGGTAGGAATTCGACTTACTTATCACATGTCGTTATGTCATAATGCGGGGCCGTTCAACTTTGCCACCAGTCCTTTTGTTGGTCGTTGCCTAGAGATTCCGTCAACCCCAATCTGATTATCGATATATGTATGTTTCTATTTTCAGGTCCCTTGAGTTTGGGCCTTACATCTGCGTACTGAGAAACAAGATGAAGATCCGCTTAAACATGCTTTCCGATCAGACGTCGGGAGTTTATTGTTAAGATATCTCCAATAGCAAAGAGGGTCTATTTCGCTGTTGTACTGACTTTATTCTATAGCCCTACAACGAGACAATAAACTGAGCTATAAAAAGGCTCTTAATTCCTGCCTGGAATCTTACTATGCCGATTGCATAGCTACCCTGGACTATTTTTTAGCAGTCCTTTACATACTAAAATAAAAGCTATTATCTTAATCTAACTGGACGGTATTAATAGCATGCTATAGATCTAAACCGGTAGTTTTCTTCTCTAAGTATATAAAGGTTCTTATAAATGAAAACCCCTTTACCTTATGATTTTATCTAGACCCGGTATTTAAGTATTACAATACAGACTTCAATCATAGGTGGCAGCTATTACACAGCTCGATCTCCTAGAACCCCCAATCCAGCATCAAGCTACTCAGCGGGCCGAGCTTCCTATGAGGAATCTCTAATTTTCCACATAAGTTAGGACCCTCCCATCGGGTGTAGATTGTTATCAAGTGATCCTTACACTGGATGTGTTTGTAAATATCGGGTCCCTTGTATCCTGCGCAGCTAGCATTGGACTCAGCTCACATTGTTATCCGCGGTCTACCGTGTTGAATCAAGCTGAACAGTTAAAACTAGATAAGTCGCACTCGCAGTTTTAAGTATGCTGATTAAACAAGGCTCCAGGATAGCAATAAAGGTTATATCAGAAGAAGTTACATAGAAGTTAAGATACATTTGCAAAACTACAACGCTTGTACGTCTGAGACCTTAAACCCAAGTAGTAAAGGATAAGGTCTAAATTGGAAAGTATGATCCCTGAACCCGGCTATTTAACGCCAAAACAAGCATGAGTCTCCTTCCATAAACCGCTGCAATCCTTCTTAACTGCTGGGTTCCACTTGAAGAACTGGTCTATTGTGATCTTCCTGTACTTCAGAAGGGCCTGACACGTGGTTGTGGAACTGATGTAGTGAAATGTGACGCAATTCTTGACCATATCCTCTTGAATAGGAGAAGGTGTTTTGATTCCGTTACTGGGAGCCGTTGCTGTTGGCTTTGGCTTGGGATTGGACCCTACCACGCCAACACACGCATGAGTGCCCTTCCAGAGGTGGCTGCAGCCTTTACCGACAGCTGGATTCCATGCAACGAAGTCGTCAAGAGTAATTTTGTTGTAGTTAATAATGCCTTGGCAGGTAGTCGTGTCTCCAACAAAGTGCCACTTGTTACAATTGGACACCATACCTTCTTGAATGGGCTCTGGCGTCTTGATTCCGTTGCCCTTAACAGTAGTTGTTACAGGCTTAGGCTTAGTGGTTGTTGTGAGAGATGGGGTGGAGCCGATGACACCGACGCATGCGTTCGTGCCGGCCCAGAGTAGTTCGCATTCTCGGCCGACAGCCGGATTCCACTTGACAAAGTCGGCAAGGGAAATCTTGTTATAGTTAAGAATGCCCTGACAACTGGTTGTGGGTGACACATAGTGGAACTTGTTGCAGTTGGTCACCATGCCTTCCTGGATAGGTTCTGGGGTTTTGATACCATTGCCAGAAGGCTGCTTGGTTGTAGAGGGCTTTTGGGTAACGGTGGGCTTAATAGGGGTAGCGGTTGTCTTAATAACCGAAGTCATCTTGGTAGAAGCGGGAACTGTGCTTTTGGGACCGGCGGCGGTAGATGAAGGTTCATCATCACCATCGGTAACAGACCCAATGACACAGTAGGACATTGCCGTGTCGATGCTAGGGCACTTGATACCAGGGTTCAATGCCTTGAAATCATCCTCAGACATGCCCCAGGCATCAGCAAAGGTTGCGCATGTCGCTCCACTGTCGGGAGAGGTGTAGAACGAACAATCCACACCTCGACGCGAGGGAATAGAACGGGCATAGGGAAGCGCCGGGAGAAGGCTCGCAGCCAAAAGTGTTGTGAGATGCATCTCGTTGGCTTGAACGATCGATGAGAAGAAAAAGAGACTGAGTGAAGGTGTTGATGCAGTATCTACCCAGTACCATCCATAACTCGATTTATAGCTTTCTGTCTTCCGATCTGGTGGACTGAAAGTCCCTCAACCGTCTGATGAAGTCTACTATTGGTCTTCCAGAATTCTGCGCCTCATCGGCGAACAAGAGCAACACCTTCCCCCTCCAGAAACCTTTGGATAGACCCTGTTGAGGCTGTTGGTTCTGAGTTTTGGGCTTCACCGAGAACGGTACATTGGCAAGCATGCGTTAGAACTGAAGAATGTTCCGACGGGCCGAGCCAGTGGTTGCATGGGGTTGGCCACGACAGCTCCAAAAGTTCATTTTATGCTTGCTCAAAGTGGCCAATCTAACCCCAGCCTTCCCCAGTTTAAAACACTCTTTTCCTTCCCAAAGGGGAAATTGCTGTCGCGGTAAAATCTCGCGAAAGTAAGTATCAGGAACTTTTAAACGCTGGAAAAGGTGACGCAGTCTTGGCGCTGTAACCGAGCTCGGCCTTAGGCTGCGAATTGTACTCTCTTCTGGATGTTCGCTAACGAGTTTAAACGTATGAGGAGTAACGTTACCTGTCGATCTTTGCTTGTCTAATTAGCATATGATCTCTTTCCGCAGCAGAGGCTGAAAACCCCTTGTGACATGTGCTGCTTTATCCGGGGGCTTTCCATATCCCTGCAGGGCCCCGCTAGAATAACTACTTTCTATAGTGTATTGCCTCATATCTATCGACCAACAGCTACCAAGCCGGAAACACGGCCATGCAGATGCCGGCACGTTACTCATGTGCCCTGACAGACGCAGGGTCGTGGATCCCGCTCACTACAAGAAGTCGTCCAGGCCCTGGTAAACTAAATTTGTTCCTGCGCACATTCTCGACCAACATTTTCACTCATTTGCAAAATGCGTTGCATCTATTCCTTGGCGTATTGGTTCGTCCTCATCTTCGTCTCCAACGCGACTGCTGAGAATCGGCAACAAGATTCTACAGGCATCTTGGACTTTAACCTAGTCTTTCCACGCAATGAGTCGACGTTCGTTCCCTCTTTAATGACGCCTTTTGTTTTCTCTTTCCGAAACCCCGAACTTATTCCTACTCTTCAACCTTATGCTATCTACAAGATCTACAATTACAGTAATACTAGCCAATTTATTTTTGATGGCAGACTCGATACTGGGCAAATCAATCTCTCAGCCAACCATGATCCTCACTTAGAAGTCCTTTACCATCGGTACTTGGATCTCGAAGGCAAATGGCTTATGACGCTTACTACTGGTGTTCTCAATTGCGTCGAGGATCGCGATCACTACTACAACGATTCGCACTATATTGACGCCAACTATACCAAGATCAACATTACCTTCACTACGAAGGGCCCTTCAGGACAGGTCGACCTCGCTGCTGAGACAAGCGACAACAATTGTTCATCTCCTGTTGGACTCACCGCCGATGTCCAAAACACGGTCAAGGTCCCGGAGGGGGATGACCGCGCCGACGAGATGGTAGCAGAGGTCTGCGCAGTCGAGCCTCTGGTAACTTTGGCAGATAAGTGTATCGCCGTGACCTCTGCGGCTGCAACAAGCATCGCCGCCGAAATGACTTGGCGGGTTTGCGGTAGCATCCCCAACAGGTCGGAGATTCCGGACAGTTGGGATTGCGAGCCACTGGATGGGAAAGAGGATAGTAAAGGAGTGCAAATTGCTTCTGGAGAGACCACATTGGTAGCATTCTTACTGGGAGCTCTAGCCTATATCTTGTAATACGACTCTAGCTCATACCTCGCATACTAGTTAGAATGATCGTATACGACGATAAAGAATGGGTGTCTTGTATGAGCCCCAGCACCAAAAAGGCGCGCGACGCTGTGTACAAGGGATTCGGCATGGGTGGCACGACTGACTGGGCCGTCGATCTTCAGGAATACCACGATGTCCCCAGGCCCTCCAAGTCCTGGGCTATCTTCAAAGAAGACGCAGCACGCGGTTATGATCCCAAGCTGGACAACGAGAGAACAGGCAACTGGACGGACCTCGACTGTAGCTCAGACGTCAACGAGCATATCAAATTTATGTCAGCACCTACCGCATGGAGAGAATCGGGCGCCAATGGCGCCTGGAAAGATCTCATGAGAATTTGGAAGGATTTGGATGAGGACAGGGGATACACCCTGAGCAGGTCGATCTCTCTGAATCTCCACATCACGCCGAGGCCCAATTGCCAATGGTTGAATGACGGTCCGTTCAATGAAATAATAGAGTGCAGCGATAGGATGAACGGCAAGTTTCCAGGACCAGCGGCAAAGTTCATCTGGAATTCCTGGGCCAGAATTCACAAAATGTATAGCGACTACTACAATGCAGTGCACGACGCGGCTACTTCCGTCTCCTTCGATGTCGCCGACTTTGGCAACAAGTTTGCACCAATCCCTGAAGCGGAAGACAATACATGGCTTTTTGTCATGATTGACCTTCTTACCTGGGGTACTTCTTCAATTGCCGCGTAAGCCTCTACAGGAATCCATAAATGCTCTCACTCCAGCTAACAGATTCTCAGTCCCTTCTTCAATTCATACCTCAAAAACCTTCCCTACTCTAAGGGCAATCCGGCAAACCATGACAATGCCAAGGACACGACCATGACTTTCATTGGACAAAGCACAACTTTGGTGAAAGATATAAGAAGTGGCGTTAGTGCAGAGTAAGTTTGCAATCTTCCTATACCAGAGCAATGATAGGCACTGACGCAATGCACAGAACTACGTGGACAGTGGGGAAGAGAGATAGTTTCACAAGCTACATGGGCCAGGTTCTCGATGGATGGCAAACGCTTGCTAATGCTTCAGTAAACGATCTTTTCAATGGCTCTAATCCTGCTTCACTCAAGATACTTGAGAGTCTCATTTCAGACGGGAAAATGATCGAAGCCGGCATCGACGGCGAGGGGTCGAGTTTCGAGACGGAGGCTGTCCCGACTGGTATCAACCTCAAGAAACACGTTGCAAAGACCTTCTATGGATATATCATCCCTACAATATGGAGAGTCGCTGGTTATTATGCTTTCGTTCTTGACTCAGGTTACGATTGTGACGCGGAATATCCTTCCGAGGACTACGTGAGCAAAGAAGCCATGGATGCTACCAGCACCTGTTATGGCGATCGACTTTACTACTTGGTCTACCCGAAAGAAGACGGCATTGGAGGCTGTCAGAAGGAATGTAACACGGGCGGTTCTTGCCCAGATGTTTGCGCCTGGAGCAAGTTCAGGGCTCCACCGGGTATCGAAGCCTTGGATGGGACCAGGTTTGGAGGCATGTCGGCACAGGATATCGTTGTCGGGTAAGTTACTGAAGCTCTCCTCTTGGCTGCGAATCATGTAAAAAACCAAAGGGATACAGTTCTGTTCGCACCTACAAGCAAAACGGAAAAAGCACAAAGCAATACCTGAAGACAAAGTCGCCGGTGATCTCAACACGGACCATCTTTTCAAACTCGACGTCACCACACCCGGAATCATGCGCCTTCCCGTATGCAGCCCCGAGCGCGCATGGCAGTCGTGGGATACGGCTGCCAAAGGCTCCAGCCCCTTCTACCCATGCGATATCCCCCCCGGGCAGAGGTCATGCAACAAGTCAACTTACAAGGACGACACGAGTAACGCATCTCCGTTGGTGTCGGACTGCGAGGTTATGATCAAGAACTTTCAGAATGACGGCTCGACCAAGTGGACAACACAGACAGCAGATCTTCAGCACAGGGAGCTTGGACACTATGGCACCTGCGCCTTTGGAGTTGAAGCGACAGAGCTCAATGGAAACATACACTTCCATTTCGGTGGTGGGGACCTCATCGAGGCCATCAACACCTCTATAAAGCAGTTTAAGAAGAATGGCAAGATCGGTGCGTCTGGTAAGGTTCTTTGTGCTGGTAATACGGGTATGACGCAGCCAGTCTTATGGGGCATCTACCATACCTAGACATGCAACCTTGGTATTGAGCCAGTGTTAGCTAGTATAATTACATTGACAAGTCATGAAGTCTGGGTCTGATGAGCTTTAGCTTCCGTCGAAGCTTAATAGACCCTAACTCATAGCCTGACTACTAATCACTCTATTACATACCAAATAACATTTCTTCCTTAAATTGCTATTGTGGTTCTGTCAACATTATATGTCAGTTCCGTGACGAAAGTGAGATGAAATCATTCAACTAGGAGTACAGATCAAAGAGTAGTGAAGTAGTTTCTACAATGACTACACTATCTATTCACAGTATCACATTGGATCTTCCAAGACCTGCTTACATTTAAGCAGCACTATGCTAAGCAGATCGCGAACATAAACTCATACACAGACTAATCAATAATACAGCATCATGTACTGGTGATATTCTGGATGCTCCTTTTACCGCTCAACCTCAAAGTATATAAAAAGAATAGTTACAGGATACTTCAGATCAACACAAGTACTCCCAAAGCAAATGCTAAGCAAGTTACCCCTCCTGCAATGCTATGCAGCGCTGTGCTCTTCTCCTCCTTCTGAGAGCTACAGTCCACCTCTTTAGGTCTACGTGTCTCCCGAAACTTATTACACACCCAGGAAGTCATTGAGGCGTCGAGACTCGACGCAGAGGTAGCGTCAAGCGTAACATCACAGCTATCAGCTTTTTTCGGTGAGGATGCAACAATTGGGCAGACATCCTGGTCATAGACCAGATCTGATGAAGGAGTTCGCATTGTGTCTGTGACGTTGATGGTGACTCCAAACGGGGAAGAACAGTTCCTGCTAGCCGCCGCAGCAAGGTCGATCTGCTTGGAGGTGCCCTTAGTGGTGAAGATGACGCCGATATCAGTTGTGTTGATATCAAGCATCTCGAGTTCGCGACGCCCCTGTTCGGCCGGTGAAACATAGCAATGCTTCCAGCGGATGTGAAAATTGACTTTCCATGTACCTTCTGTGTTAAAAGGATACAAATGCGACTTGAACTCGATATGTGGGTTGACGCTAGATTTATTGACCGAAGGAACGTCGATAGCGCCATATGTACTGTCTGCACTGAAGTTGTTGTAGTTCCAGACCTCATATGAGATTGAAGGTCTGAGATAGGGAAGCAGCTCAGTGTTGCGGAAGGAGAAAACGATTGGCATTATTGGAGACGGGTTGTAGGTCTCATTGCGTGGAAATACAAGGTCGATCTGCAAGGCACCGGTGGGACCGTTTAATTCTTTCGCAGTTCCCCCATTTTGTAGGAGAAACCAACAGGCGAGAGAAAAGATACATCGAGGGGGGAAATGCATGTTGGAATTGTGCACGCTGAAGGTTACGCATAAACAAATGGCAGATTGATCAGGTTCTTGTGGGCGGAAGAATCGAATTCTAATAACGTGACAGGGCGGTGCTGCAACGTTGCTCCCCGGTGATGGACGTACTGTACCTGCATGGCCGCGTTCCGGCTTGGTAGTTGCTGGTCGACAGATATTACTTAATGCACACCATTGAGTGCAGACCTTATAGCGGGGTCCTTGCAGGGATAGCAGAACCCCTGGAACAAAGCGGCACATGTCACCATGGATATTTGGCTTTTACTCTGAATCAGGACCATGGCGTGACTGAAAAAGATATGACTCCTCATACGTTGCCAGGGCTGTATCGCCTTATCCAGCCTTCAAAAGTTCCCAATGTTTACTTCCGCCAGTCTTGCCGCGACGGTTGAATCACCCTGAACGAGAAGAGGGCTTTAATTAGGGGAAGACTAGACCCAGATTGAACCATGATATCAATGTTTCTGGCAATTGGGGCCAACATCTGGCAGCCGCTGGCTCCGTCTACAGGAGGATTTTGCAGTACCAACGAGATGTCGTTAGACTATTAATATGGTTAGTGCCACATAAGCCCTTGCATTGGAGTTGGGGAACCTTGCAGCCATTTATACACGAGAGCTCAAGCCATCGAGGATGTAGCACATTTGATTTGTTTCTAAATTGTATCTTGATCCCCTCCTACAGTGTTTCTTACACCTCAGCAGCCTTATATGCAAAGCTTAACGAGAGAAATTAAAATAGTAAAAGCAGAGTGAAGCAGTATGGGTAACCATCAGCAGCACCATGGAAAGAAAATGCAATATAGGCTCATTAAAATTGAGAAGGCGCGGGGAATGTTTCAACTGAATGGTAATAATTGCTGTCCATCCAAAAATGAACACAAAACCGCCCATCAGTTTTGCATGATATCCAGTGATTTCGCTATTCGGCTGTTTGTAATAATACAGGTACAGCCTGGCTGCTGTAGCTGCGGATATTGCATCGTGAACAGAGTTAGAGGATGTAACTTTGAAGCTGATTATATCGACAATGATAGCCAGCCAAAATCGATTCTGTCTTATGAGATTTGAGCTGCTAGGGAAGAGCTGAGCTACAAGAGGCATGTCTTGATGGAGAGCGATGAACCAAAATAGCATGGAAATCGCTGCGGGAGCGTAAGGATCATGCATGATGGGCAACATGGCGTCCCAGTCTGCCTTGGTTGGCCCTTTCCACTGGAGCAAGATATAGAACCATGTAGGAACCGAGGGGTTGATGATAAATTCGGCGAATAGCTCAACAACGCGGTATATAGATCTGGCCCAAGCCATCCAACCACCGGACCGGGACACCTCGATCCCAACCCTCAAAGTAGGCAGGCTTGTAACAAACCTCGACGAACTAGAGGTGAGGATTAAAAGGTCATCTAGCGTGATTGTATTCCAGCTTGACATGTCTGAACGAGAACCGTCTTGCAATACACGATCAACTTCTTCGAAAGTTGTTAGATCCGGTCGGAAGCAAACGGACATTCCAATTGGCCCTAGGAATGGCTTGAGCAACCAGTGGGTCTCATATGCCTCCAGAAATACTGCAAAGCGAGTCTTCTTGAGCCAAGTCTGCAGCAGTACGGCCGTTACACATTCAAATGTTCCATTTCCAGTCCATCCAAATGACTGGTGTGTAAAAAATGCATTGTGTGGAATGAACCATAAACTCGTTTTCCTCGGGCGATATGGAATCAAAAATGTATCTGCTGGGTGGTGTTGACGGGACCAGCCAGTGGAGGTTCGAATCCCAACAAAATCAAAGTGATGGCTGGGTATGGACAGAGACAGTTGAGCTGGTTCGCTCTTTGTGACTTTCAGAAGCGTCTCAAAAGGCCGAAAAGGAAGGTCTTTGACGCGAGCCATTAAGTGCACCTGACGATGGGCCCAGCGACTCCAAACATCGTGCTCGACAAAAGTTGCCTCCTGCGAAGTTCGAGCGTACATATTTAGTCCTTGGCGAACAATCGGGATAGCAAGTAGTCTCCAGGGATCGTGTCTCATACGGCAGGGCAAAATGAGGTAAGGATGGCTATCGCTGGATGCAGGAAGTGTGATGCTCAGACCTCGGTCGGTCAGTGATCTTTCAACATCTGACTGGACCAGTACCAGGTCTTGGGACCCCGAGAAAGAATGAACAGACCGGGCGAATAGACCTCGTATATCACCGTCCTCTTTTGGTGGCTGGAGGTGGTACCAAGGATGGCTAGTGCGAATGAGGAAGCGAACTGCTGGGGTCCAGTAGGAAAGTTTTTCTGCCTCCCATGACATTTCCTTGGGCTTGGCGATATCCCAAGCGAGAAGTGTAACATCAAATACCGTTGGGTCTCGGACAATAGCTTCTTGAAGACGAAAGAAAGCTCGCTCGGAGCCTTCGCCATATAACAACGGAATGTTAATACCAAATAGGCCGAGAAGGCAGTACGACATATCCTCTCCGCGCGTGGTCGTTCTCCTGGAGGCCCAATGCATTCGCTGGGCAATTGTAGCGCTGGATATCAATACCTGGCGCGCCTGAAGACTAACAGTGTCTGGAATCTCAAGATACTTTGGCTCGACGCCAGTTACGTGGCTCACAATCCAAGCGTACTCGTGGCGTGTCCCAATCATGGACCAGTCAGAGGCGAAAAAGATCAGTTCCGTTGGGGCGAGCAGTTCCTGCAACGTCCATCCACGGGTGAACCACCGACTTGTTCTCATAGAATTTCCTATATCTACGGAACCCGCAGACACGTCGTCAAGGTATGCAAAGCATATATCCGAGTTTTCATACAAGGGCTGCCTGTGCGGAGGCTCGCCGCCGCGGCTTTAACTACGTCTGGGTCGACACGTGCTGCATCGATAAAACGAGTAGCGCTGAACTGTCCGAGGCTATCAACAGCATGTTTAAGTGGTCTTGGCGAAGCCCGCGCCCTGCCCTGTACGCAAAGACGGAACATCCTGTAGCATGATCTCCTCGGTGCCCCATGTATGGGAGAGAATAGCATAGGCCGGTTTCTGGTCGCCCGGGAACCACTCGAGCTGTAGTGTGTTAACGTTCAGGAGACGCATACTGGCTGGCTGTTGGTTGTATGGAAGAGGGTTGAAAATGCAGCACTGTCTTCACAGGCGCTTATGGATAAGCACACAGTGGGGCCTCGTCCATCACCAAGCCAATTGGAAGTTGTGATGTCTATGTGACTCAAACAGCCGACCCTAGACCTCTAGGCAGGTAGGTAATACAGTTGAGTTAGGCACTGTTAGACTCATTCTTCGTTGTCACGAAGATCAAAAGCATTGAAGAGTCAAGATATCTTGCAACTGTCAATTGAAACAGGAGTGTAGAGATTTGTCACACCAACGGGCAAAGGCTCGACCCAGTTTTTAAAATAAAATGTATTGTATATGAAAGAGATTTAGTAATCTTCCACTACTATCCTGCATAAATAGCATCAAGGCAAATCTTTTCTAAAGCATCTGGGTCTGAGCTGGTCCCTGCATGACGAATTTCAGCTTCCGTGTCGGCTCCCTTGTCTCCCCAAAAGATACGACCCTTCTCATTCAAAGTCCAATCATCAACCAGATCAGCAATAGTTTGCAAATGACCCACAGTAGCAGGCTGAGGTCCCGATCGCTTTCTGAGTGCCAAGAAAGTTGCAAACGCGGCCAGTAGTATAGCAAGGCCTGCGTAAAGCATCAACCGAGTATAAGTCATGTAAAATGTAATGCCTGCCAGAGCCATTTCTCCCTCTACGGAAGAGGGAGTCAAAAACTCGACAGGGCCTATGAATCGTCCGTTCATGGACGGCAGTAGAGCTTGACCAACGCTCCAGTGCAAAAGGGACTTGAAGATGCTCAGGGTGATGTATTCCCAGCTGGTCAATGCGTTCTTCAGTGAGTCGCTCGCGAGCAGAGACCCTTTGGGACATTTCCCGCTGGTTCCTATACCGTCATAAGCTTTCCTCCAGTGATTTTCATCTCGTGAAATGTTGACAAGGAGTTCAGTGCAGTGCAAGGCGAAAGACTGGGTTGCTTGAATAGCGGTGATGAAGAGCAAGCCCAAGCATACTTGCAGGAGCGGGTATTTGTCTTGATCATATCCATCTCCCTTTTGAGAAAAGGACATCGAGAGGCTGGCCATATTGCTGTCACAACTACCTGGAGCTTGTACATCCCATTTTAGTGTGGTTGCGCCAGGTGGACAATAATTGCCGCTATCGGCTGCGTAGGCAAGATCCAGTCCCAAGATTGTAAACACCCATCCTGTGGCGAGTATTGCCAGCGTCCACAGCAATATGATGATCATTTTTGTATGCTTGTGTGAATTGTAGATGCTCTTTTGTTTCTTAAGAGGATGAACTGGCTCCATGTCATCGTGTTCGTAGCCTTGTCCCGATGGAGAAGAGCTATGATCAGACACGGGCTGCATACATCTTCCTTCGCGTCGTTGAAGCATCCCACTCTGCACGGCCGCTAAGCAATTGCTCAATGGATTGGAACTCCAAGTTAATACAGAATCCGACCGGGTCCGAAGACACCAGGTCGAAACTATCGCGTGTCCCAAAAGTGCCAAGCCCAGTACCACCAGAGCCACACCGTTCAAAAATACAACATCCGGTAGGTAGTCGGTGGGTAATAGTAAGTAACTTGAAGCTCCGTAACAGAACGCTAGACAAATCATGCTAAAGACGTTTGTATACCACCGATTAGGTCCACTCTTGCTCGAACTGGTGAGAAGGCGGAGATTCGTATTGAATTCCAATCGCTGTTCACTGTACAGGGCCCATCTCAAGGATACCGAATGAATGAAAGCCATGCTGTCGATGCAGAACGTGAGTACGATGTTGAAAACAAGTGATAGCATTTCTGTTGCGGTCGCATCAATGTCAATGCGAGCAGCAAGCCTTTCCTTTCGCGTGGCAAGGACGTAGATACCAGACGTGATACATGCGAGGGCTAAAAGACAACCAACAAAGATGCCACCGATGCACTGTGAACGAGTAGACTTGTTGACATCGTAAAGTGGGTCAGCTTTGTTATTTGATCCGTCATCAGTACTAGAACTTTCATCATGTCCCTCTTGGGGTTTGTTGGCATCAGAGTCTTGTGTCGACGATGAAGCAAGACCCGCATTTTCTGTCTGGGTTTCCAAAAGTGTTTGAACCTCATTTGTTTCGTTGTTTTTGACAGTCGACCTCCATCTTTGTATGTCGAGCGTCTCGGCACGGACATCAGGGCCTTTCTGATGTTCCATATCGCCGTGGAGGATAATGGAACCGAATAAGAAAATTGAGAGTTGTAAATTTGTTCTTCGGAGGGCTTGACTGAGTATTTGGATCAAGGCATTGAAAGAATGGCAACTGCGACAAAATGCCTGTCGTCGGCAGCTATCTTCACGCGAGAGCGCGAGAAAAAAGGGTTCAAAGGGTGGGAGGGGAAATAATACGCTGATTTCCAGAGCCGGAAGGATTCATCGTTGCCTCAGGCTTTAGTAGGATTTGTAGGAAATTATATTGTGAAACTAAGCGCGAGGATATAACCTCGTTCTATTGGCACAAGTACGATTTTAGCCCCCAACTGTAGTGTGCAATCTACAGGGGTCCTCAATTAGCTCAATAGAGAGTTTCGCGCTAACATTCAAAACCCCTGCTGCCAAACCAGATGAGAAAGTTGATCCGTAATTGTTCTAGCTTACACGCATTGTGATATATTCAACAGGTAAGAAGAATCATGGTTCTGACCACCTACGAGACCCTTCTTCAGCACACGGAAAGCGTCTCTCAACTGTTGCATCCTCCTCCCCGACCCTTTGTAAATGCGGACCTGGCCTCTACGGATCGCCCTCGCATGGCTGGGGCTTATTCAAAGGACAAGATATAAGCTCACCCTCCATCCCCGCGATAGGGACACATTCACCGGAGCACTATCGATAAATTATCAGTTTGAACAAACATACTGTGACCCCAAAGGATACGTACACTCTTGTCGGCGCAGCATTTGGTAGCAGATGCTAAGCCCAGGGCTGAGAGGGCAAAGGTCAGAGCAGCAAAGAACTTCATAATTGCAAGTAATGCGGTTATCGGTAGGAAGGATAGTGTAGATGGTTTATGAACAACAGACTGCTATAGCTGTTCTTCTTTTATATCTCTTTCTCCGTGTGTAGAAAAATGACGGAGGTAGGTAACTAAAAGCCCAGACCTTATGATATCATGAAGGATGAAGGAACGATCCTCCTGTAAGACTGTTCTCCACTTATGACGCTCTGATGTACCTCTTCTTTCATAGCTTACCATATAGCGACGGATGCTTTCACGAGGTGCGCCGACCTTTGTCGAGATTTCCTGGAGTTATAAAATGAGCTCAGAGTAGCGATCTTGGAAGTGTATGGAAGTCATGCTGCTCAACCATCGTTGTGCATGTTCTAGTTCCGGCTTTTTCAGCTAGTGAAAACGGGACTGTCAGCTCCCTTGATGCCAGATTATCATTTCCTTTTTGGGGTTGACCAGCGATCACTGTAGATTGATATGGACGGCTAAGCCGACCACCTGTGCCGTTCTCCATATTATTAGACGCCACAGTCAGGCCTGGAGCTAATCGTCATACAATATCAACAGCGAGTGTCCCGCTGATGTGACATTGAGGGTGCTTGGGAGCAGTAAGGAAGTCTGTGGAAAGGTCAAAGCGTAAGGCGGGGGGAATGTCGAGAACATGATTCGATTGCATACCCTGTACTGTTTTCGTAGTTGGAAAATATTGTCAGACAGTTACAACGCTCTGCCTTCAGGTAGCCACCGGTCGCAGGCGCATATCTGTCAATTCGTCTCAAAGGGTCAGACAGCCACAAAAATTTCAGCTGACGTTTAGCAAAGACATGCAGAAAACTATTGAACGTAATTCCTCATGACCATGCGGAAATACGGCATTTCACTCATTCCTTACAGACACCTCATCTAATAAGAATTGTCAGTCAATTTAGCAGCAATAGTTATCAACTATATAACGGTCGACCTGGACTGTACAACAGCATTTCAATTCCTCAGTCCATCTAACACTATACTTCTCAAACCTTTTATTCGCCTTTTTACCTCTTCAGACTATTCTGCCCAACATGTTCGTCTATGAAGGCAGACTCGATTGGAAGCCTTACGGCGATAACGAAACTTTTATTATCGTTCTACCCGACGGACCTGTTCGCGTCGGAGATACTGTCTATCTCTTCTACCAATGGACCTTTAACGCGTCAAATGTTAAGAAAGACAATTCCTTCAACAAGATTGCCATTGACAAGGTCTCTAAGACTCCAGCCGGGGACGACACCTTCGTCGCCAAGTCCTCCTACTACAGTTGGGAGATCACCTCTGGTAATGTTTACCAGAAGCTCAAGGTCGTCATGCGCAATCCCAGCGGCTATGAGAGCCCTATGGAGTTCAAGCGTATCTGGCAGTCTGAGGGTGACGTTACTGCCGCATCGACCAGGATCTGGACCGGCAAAATCACCTGGGACCAGTACGCGAGCAACGAGATGGCCATTTTCATCGCGCCTGAGGGATTGGGCCAAGATAAACCCATTCTTTCCATGTGGCAGTGGACTCGCGATGGAAATGGTGTCGCGAAAGCCCCATCTTTCCGCGCTGAGCCCCAGAAGGTGATTTCTGACGATGACAGTGGTGTCAAGTTCAATTACAAATCTTACTACGATATCGATTGCTCCTGGAACAGGAAGACGGAGAAGCTCTCGGTGAAAGTAAAGAGCCCAGGATCTCCTCATGATCTGGGTGATTTTGCTCTGTCGGCACTCATTGATCATCGTTCTCAGTATGTCCAATTACGCCCTGTGTCTCTCCGCCAAGTACTAACAGCCATTGCAGTGATTGGGACCCCCCGCAAACCCCCGGCAAGAAGGCTGAGCTTGAACTCCACTCACCTCAGCCCCAACCTGCGCTGGCTCGAGTTGCCGACCCCCTGCCTTTCCCCAAAACACTTATTGAGACCCTCAGACACACCATTGCATACGCTGATCAGGCCGGATACCTTGCCCAGTATGCTCACGATGTAAGAACTTAATCTCAACTCTGCTGATTTTTACTAACCTTGGCAGCGATTCACTGCACTGGACGCCGACTTCCACGCTCGAGGGCACCAACTTGACACTGTCAAGGCTCAGGGCAACGAGCTGACTAAGGAAGTCAAGAAGCTTACAGGCGACCTGACCGTCGAGAAGGCCAAGGCCGATGATCTGACCAAAAGACTTGAAGAGGCTCGCCAAGCAAACGAACTTGAAGCCAAACGACTGCAAGACGAGATTGCGAAGAGTAAGAAACATGACTCTGACGACCACAAGGCTATTGAACTTCTCGAATCTCAACTTCAGTATGAGCGGGCCTCAAAGGCGGAAGCCCAGAAGAAGCTTGATGAGGCGTCCACTACCCTTGCTGCCGCTGAGGCCCGTAACAAGGCTGATAGTGAGAGAATCGCTGGTCTTGTCACTCGCATTGCTATCGTCGAAGCTCAGCTCGAGGTCGAAACCAAGGATAACAAGCGACTACAGGATGAGAAGAAGCAGCAGGCCGACAAGATCGCCGATCTTGAGAAGCAGCTGAAGGACCTCAGGGCTCAGCTCGAGCAAGCTCTGAAGGAACTCAAGGAGCAAAAGGAGCTCGTCAGCCAGAAGACTGCCACTATCACTCAGCGTGACCAAGAAATCACCGAGCTTAAGAAGGCTGTTGAGACAGGCAAAATTGCTCTGGCCGCATTACAAAAGCAGCTGGACTCCCACAACAATGAGATCAGGAAGCGCCTCAGGTGCCACCTGCGAAGTGAAATCACGGATGACAACGATGTCATGTTTGATCTGAACGGCGGCGGCGGCAAGAACCCTGCTGTCCATGCATGGTGAGTATTACGTGAGACTTCCAAGAGCCAACCACTAACTTGTATCAGGTCGGATGGAGACTATTACACGATGAACTCCAACGCCATGTGGGACTTCTACTCCGTTGGAGACTCTAACAACATTGTGGTCATCAAGAGCCCAAGCAAGGGTTATGTCCTGTACTCAAAGGGTATGTCTACCTTTCCCATAAATCTCTACGCAGTCACTAAATATGTTCAAGGCCACGGGAAGAACGTTTGCTGCGAGGTAGGCAAAAACGTCGCGGAGACAGATGCCCATTGGGAGATCCAAGGTGCTACTGTCGATAACTTGGATCATAAGGTCATCCAGTAAGTTATCAAAGAAAGCATTGCTTCGTAAAAAGCCCACTAACATTCGTGCCAGATTCCGCAATGTTAAGGATAAGACGTCTCTTGATCTTTGTGGAGGCGATACCAAAAACGGCACGGCTTTCTTGACGTACAACTCACACGGTGGAAAGAACCAGAAGTTCAGAGTCTATAAGATGTAAACTGGACTTTCGACAATGGCTGCATCTATCCTGACTACAGTTTCAACGTCATACTTTCACATTAATCGACATTCTTTTTCATTTTCACTTCCATTAACCTGTGATGTGTAATGTGATGAAAGAAGAGCTCCCTACATTTAATCATTTAACATCTTTTCTTGATTGGCTATGTAGTTGAGGGTGGCAAGGATGTAGCCGCCAGTAAGATAACCGCCGGTGTGCCTCACGTCGCATGACAATTACCCCGCCCTCTTTGAACGAACCTAACCTTAATACTCTTTGACCCCCAAGTATCAGTTATGATACTGCATTCGTTCCACTTGTCTTCAACCAGGACTAAATGAGATCTTCCAGTCATGCGTCAATCCAGAGAGGAAGAAGAACAAAGCCAAAGCCTTAACGAAAGTGGCTCCGCATTACCAAGCACAGCCCAGTCATCTCCATATGAGCCTCTCAACGCAGATCGAGACTGCACCCGTCTGTTGCGTATCGAAGTGGCTAAGGATGGAGATCGTATCGTTTGCACCTTGTTCACGGTCGCTTTCGGTGACAGGCCGAAATTTGACGCGCTTTCTTATATGTGGGGCGATGGGAAAGCTGAGCGTAGCATCACTGTCAATGGTGTTGACTACGGCGTTCGACAAAACCTTTGGGACGCCTTACACTACCTCCGGAAACATGTCCCCAACACTGATTACTGGATTGACGCTATATGCATCAATCAGAAAGACGTGGATGAACGTAACGGACAGGTCCGCATGATGCACCATATCTACTCCCGAGCTCAGACCGTCGTTGTATGGTTGGGCAAAAGCTATGCCGAGTACGAAACCGCGTTACCCGACTTGAAAGCTCTTCAGCACCAAATACCTTCCAGTCAATCGGCTGCTCCGGGAGAACCAGCCGATGCAGCTCGAAACAGCCCTGCGGAGCGCAGCTTGGCAAGGAAACTGTACAGTGACAATTACTGGAAGCGACTGTGGATAATTCAGGAGATCGCCCAGGCCCAAAAGATAAAAGTATGCTTTGGCAACTCGGCTACAGAATGGAAACTGTTTACACATTTTATGATCATGCATAACTTCGGATCAGATGGACCGATAAGGTTGGAACGGCAGAGGGAGGAGAAATATAGCGGGTCAAACACCTTGCTTGAACTGTTAAGAAGGCACAGAGACGCAGAGTGTCAAGATAGGAAAGATAAGGTATACGGCCTTGTGGGAATGACTTCCGACGCTCGTGGCTTTCTTATCGATTACAAGAAGTCATCCTTTGAAAGATGGACTGAGGTGATGGAGTTCATGAACAAACATAGTCTGTTTTACGACAAAGATATCCTTGACGTGGGGCATCTTATCAAGTTCTTACTGATGGGAGATGAATGCGACCCTTTGCAGCAGATCATGCGGTCGTATGCACCGAGAGAGGGAGACGACACTGATATCACAGATCCGGACAATCACAGATCATTTGAGCTGCAAGGCGCAGTACTGGGGTGTGTTATATATGTCGGTCCACATCCCTCCGAGATCGTCGGAGATCTCAAGGCTGTGGATTCTTGGACAGAGAAGATCCAAGCTAACTATCGAGAAGATCTCGGAAATGCCCATCGAGACAACGATACGATGATTCGTACGATCCTGGAGTTGGATGATTATAACCTTTCGATGAAGTGTTTCGATTGCAGAAGTACTGTATCGTGGCCCAGTAATTTATCCTTATCCCGTCGTGGCTGTTGGACAGGAGGCTGGGTTCAAAGATTGCAAAGTAGGTCTCGTGGCTCGGTTGCGAGAGACACAACATCAGATAACCCAGGTTCTGACAATTGCCGTCTCTTTCAGATGTCTTATAGAGATGGAGCACCGTGGAAACTAGGTCTCTCATCTAGTGACGTTCAAATCGGGGACATTGTTTGCTGGTTTGGTTGGCCCCGACGAGCTGTTCTGGTGCGAGCGGAAGGTGAGACACGTCAACGCAGGCTGCAGGTAGTCGGAACAGCAGTCATTGCAGAAGACTTGAGAGAGGAACGGTTGGACTGCTCGCAACGCTCAAACTGGTCCGCGAATAAGGAAAGACTGGTCGCTTATTTGGATGCAAGAACTATTTTCGTTCTCTTAGCAAAGTGAAGGCAAGGTCGAAACTAAGCTTGCCAGTACTACTTCAGGTGACGGTACGAAATTAACTTGGGGAGAGTATATATTCCATTGACGGTCAATGGTAATTGAATTATAGCAACAAGACAGTTTGTTACTCTTGAGATATGTATATATCGTAATGGTAGATGTCTCGTGGCTTGCGGCTGTTGAAATTGTCAGCCCAGGAAAGCACCCTACGGCTGAGTCACTGCGTAAACATGCGGTAGGTTTCCACTATACGGGCACTCTGTCGACGTGGGCTATGCCCTGTATTCTTCTGTATGTCTTTGTACATGTTCTGCTGAGTATACAAAGATTCTTCATCCTGGCCAGCCGTGACATCTCGACACTCATACCATGCCCTCTTCTCACCTGAATGAGGCTTTGAAGACAGTCCCAAATGTACAGTAAGTTTGGAGAGCCAAGACACAGCGATAGCTCGTGATTGGTGGATCTCACTGGCATCAGAACAATATTAGTGGTCGAGTAAGCGCTAACCGTTGAGGGGTAGCGTCAGCATGGCTGAAAGCAAATTTCATATTACTTCTGGCTAATCGCTATCTATTTGCTCTTTGAGTCTAGGTCCTATTATTCAAGTCCCTTCCTTGATTATCGTCCTTTCTTGGACTGATACAGCTCCGCGGCTACAACTTCAGCCCCTATCAAAAGATTCCAGTTAGACCCCGCAATTATAGATAGTAAGTTCAACCCTGAATCCGGTTGGTGTATCTGACCGCCGCACCAGTCCCGGCGCAGATTCAGCTGGTCCACGGGAGCAAGTAACCTCCCTAAGAAGTATTCTCGTTTGGATTCTAACTTGTATTTCCTCGCAGCATGCCTTTCGGTGGATCATCTTAAATGCGAACATGTCTAATCCGAATGACTACACCGTTGGATGGATATGTGCGATAACGACAGAGTACGTTGCTGCCCAGGAATTTCTCGACGAAGAACATGAGGGTCCCGGCTATGTCTCTCCCAACGATAACAACCATTACACGCTGGGGCGCGTTGGGAGGCACAATGTTGTTATCGCTGTTCTGCCTGACAATGAGTACGGAAAGTCTTCTGCTGCAGGCGTGGCAAAGTCCATGATGCATAGCTTTCCTAATGTTAGAATCGGATTGTTGGTCGGCATCGGCGGAGGAGTGCCTGGTAAGCATGACATTCGTCTTGGGGATGTTGTAGTAAGCTCTGGTACAAATAATGGCGGTGTGATTGGGTATGACATTGGCAAAGACATACAAGGACAAGACTTCAAGTTGACCGGATTCTTGAACCAGCCACCAGTCCTCCTTCGGACAGCCATGAGTGGCCTAAAAGCACGATATGAGCGCAAAGGGCACCAACTCTCCGAGACTGTCAATACGGTTCTCAGCAAGAACAAACGGTTGATCAAAAAGTACAAGCAGCCAGAAGCATGTACCGCCGACAAACTCTTCAAATCCGAAGTCACCCATCACCTGGTCTGTGCGGCGGAGTGTCGTTATGATGAATCGAATTTGGTATCACGACCCGAAAGAGATGACCACGAAGATAGTCCCGTCATTCATTACGGTCTTATCGCCTCAGCCGACAAGCTAATGAAGAACGCTTTAGCTCGGGATAAGCTTTCAGAAGCGCATGATGTTTTGTGCTTCGAAATGGAAGCAGCCGGGCTTATGAACCACTTTCCCTGCCTGGTTATTCGTGGCATATGTGACTACTCAGATTCACACAAGAATAAGCAGTGGCAGGGATATGCTGCGATGGTGGCTGCGGCCTATGCAAAGGACCTTCTTTATCAGATACCTCCGAACAGACTTGAAGCTGAAAGGAAGCTCAGCGACATTCTATCCGGTAATAGCCAATTGTAGAACTACAACGTTTTCTTATTCATTGACGCCATATACAGTATTCCCAGAGGTTGCAAAGGAGCATCGGGATATTTCGAAAGAGCACCGTGACATTGCTGTTGAGCAACTCCAAGCCCAGAAAGACCTAGCCCAAAATAGGCTATCCGAGGAGCAACAAAGGTGCCACCAGGTGTTTCGCCTTACAAATAGCAGCAAGGATGCTACATACGAATGGTATAAAGACCGAGTGGAAGAAAGGGTTGAAGATACATGTATGTGGTTCCTCAAGCACAGGAACTTCCAGACATGGTTGAAACAAGACTCTGGCCCATTGCTAGTCTCAGCGGATCCCGGCTGTGGAAAGTCGGTTCTAGCTAAGTACCTGATAGACCACGGCCTACCGCGATCAGCGAACATTTGCTACTTCTTCTTCAAAGACCAAGATCAGAACACCGTTAGGCAGGCTCTTTGTGCCTTACTTCACCAGCTCTTCTCACTAAAGCCAGCTCTGATTGAACATGCTATGCCACAGTTCCTTAAAGATGGGCAAGGTCTTGTTAAGTCTTCAGAATCACTTTGGAAGATCCTGCAAAGCTCTGTCGAGGACCCTCACACCGGATCCGTGATTATAGTCCTCGATGCCCTAGACGAATGCGCCGAATCGGACTTTGCGGAGCTTATGCGAAATGTGGAGAAACAATTCCATTACGGCCAGGCTGGGTATGGCAAGTTGAAATTTCTTCTGACATGTCGTCCATACAATCAAATCTTATCCAGATTCCACACCCTATTGTATGTGTTTCCGGAAATACACATACCTGGAGAGGAGGAGTCAGAAACCATCGCTCAAGAGGTGAATCAAGTTATCAGATACCGGGTCAATCAGCTGGCGATGAAGAAACGCTTCACAACCCAAATCAAGGACCACCTAGAGAAGAAGCTACAGAAGGCAACTCATCGAACATACCTCTGGATATACCTTGTGTTTGACTATTTGCAGAAACACGACTTTAAAAGAACAGTCAAGGGGATCGAAGCCGTTATCGCAAGACTTCCTACCAGTGTCAACGAAGCGTATGAACAAATCCTCGGTAAGGCCAGGAAGGATCCGATGGTTTTCAAAGTCTTAAGCATCGTCTTAGCAGCGAGCCGACCACTGACCCTATCGGAGATGAACGTTGCTGTCAATATTGATGACAAATGCCAGTCTATTGACGACCTCGACTTGGAGGACGATGAAGACTTCAAGGCTCGTCTTAGATCGTGGTGCGGATTATTTGTCTCCATCCACCAAGGACACATCTATTTCATTCATCAAACAGCTCGTGAGTTTCTTCTCGCAGATCCATCATCACCGAGACCCGTCTCGATTGGCCTGCACTGGCATCACTCTATCAGTATCCAGGACGCACACGTCACTATTGCTAGGCTCTGCGTGCTCTATCTGAACTTCTACAACTCGAAGGCTGGGAGATTGACAGATGTAGGTGGGGAAAACACTCATTGTGGCGACAAAAACCCTTTCCTAGACTACTCGGCCAAAGCCTGGGCCACTCACTTCCATAAGGCTGACTTCACTGACAATGACGACATTATACCTTTAACTTTGAAGATCTGTGATACTGATTCACAGAGCTACTCGGTATGGTTTAAGATCTATTGGAAGAGCTTGGTTGTAAAGACTGGTAAGGGCCTTACGGATCTGATGGTAGCTTCATACTTCGGCCATTATACCGTCGTTAAGCTGTTACTGAACAAGGGCGCGGAGATAGAAGCCAAGGACAGCGAGTACGGCTTAACACCGCTACTATGGGCCGTAAGGAACGGATACAAGGCTGTTGTTGAGATACTCCTCGAAAAGGGTGCTGATATCGAGGCAACAGATACCAAGCGTGATCAAACGCCACTATCATGGGCCACTGAGAAAGGGCACGACGCAATCGCCAGGCTGCTGCTTGATAAGGGTGCAGAAATAGAAGCCAAAGACAGTCAATATGGTCAGACACCGTTACTACTGGCCGTCAGGGAAAAGCATAAGGCTTTAGTTAAGGTACTGCTCGAAAGGGGCGCGGATGTTGAGGCCAAGGATAGAAATGATAGTTGGGGGCCACTGTTATGGGCCGCCAGCAATGGGTATGAAGCTATCGTTGAGTTACTTCTTGACCAGGGCGCCGATACTGAGGTGAAAGACAACATGTATAGCCAGACGGCACTATCGTGGGCGGCTGAAAGGGGGCACGAGGCCGTTGTCAAGCTGCTGCTCGTCAAAGGAGATGCCAGCCCACAGGATAATGTTGGCCGAACACCATTGTTTTTTGCGACTATGAATGGGCACGAATCTATCGCAAGGGCGTTACTTCACCATGGGTCTGTTGATCCTGACCAGGAAGACCGGTATGGTTCGACACCTTTGTCAATAGCTGTACGACATTCTCGCACAGGGCTGGTCAAGATGCTGCTCGCTACCGGCCAAGTCACCTTCCCGTCCGGGGATCGTTTCGGACGGTGTTCGTGGTATTGGGCTAGAAGGTGTGGAAATGCCAGCATCCAGCAATTACTGCTTGACTACGCAATTGGAAAAGACATAACAGTTTGCGAGAGCGATGGTGATGTTGTCGTTGCATCCTGTCATGAGACATCCAAGTTTTGTGATGTATGCACTTTGGGTATTCAAGAGCCTGTGGCATTCTACTGCTGCAAGGTTTGTAGCGGCGGAGACTTTGACGTTTGTCTGGAATGCTACAAAGTCGGGGGACGTTGTTTGGCGCTTGAGCACAAATTGGTCAAAAGCTATTCTAGGAAGTAGAATCTTTTATTCATCCTTACTCTTATCACTTTCCTCATCTTCATGGATATAGGATGCTCTGCACCTCTACCGACACCTTGTAAAGTACCTGAAAGTTACCTGTCTCTATGTATGAAAATCTCCCTAGTAGAGCGCTGGACCAGGGTAGACTTTACACAATTGCAAAGAGATAGGTATGTCGGGCATATAAAAAGGAGGATGATGCTAGTGTTTATCTCTGAATTGGGAGAACTGCTGAATCTAATAAATACGATAAAGGGGTACATTGTCGGGATATCTTCCTTCTAGTGTTCGGGGTCGCCTCTTTGTCCGGACCATGGTAACGATGATAAAATACAACGCCTTTGCCTGGGGAAGTTAATTGAGGGCACAACTGATCATGGCACCCCGGAAGCACGCCTCGACGAGATATACCGAAAGGTGCTCGCCTTCCCTACAAGAGACTTGGCCGGCGATGAGAGGGACCTCAAGTTCTTAGGGTACAGGTCTATGCTGGGTTTGATCGCTCTCGCTTTCGAACCACCGTCAGTGGTCACCATCGAAAGGTTATTGAAGCGGGAAGGGATCCGGAAGACCCTCATGAACTTTCGTTCTATCCTAGAAGTCCCCCAAGATGACCGATCTCCGGTTAGCTTTTTCAATTTGTCTTTTCGTGATTTTCTCCTCAACAGGGAACGGTCTGGGGCGACTTCGTAGTCAATCCTGCGCAGGTCCACCATGACTTGTTTCTCAACTGCCTTACCATTATGAACAAGTCTCTTCGCCAGGATATGTGCGGTCTCGCTCACCCAGGGACCTTTACTTCTAGCATTCCGAAAAGCCGTGTTCATGAATGCATACCACAACACATCAGATATGCTTGTCTTCATTGGTCAGACCATCTCTCCAAGCTCAGTAGTCCCAAGCCGGCACCTGGACCTATTGGGATGATAACGGGGAGGTTTACGAATTCCTTTCTACTAAATTTCTATACTGGCTCGAAGTCTTGAACCTAAGAGAGTATCACCGATCAATCCCAGTCATTAGATATCACCAATCTTTAACTACAGTGGGTCAATGGTTCGTGATCGTTTCGTTGCGAGTCATGCTAACATGTTCTGCTAGGAGGAAGATTCACCCACTTTATCTTCATTTCTACAGGACGCCTATCGGTTCATCCTCTACAATAGTCAAACTATTGGCGAAGCTCCTCTTCAAGCATACTGTGCTGCTATTACCTTCAGCCCTGTTAAGGGCATCGTTCGCAGCACGTTCCTAGACTTCATTCCACCCTGGACCATAAGGTATCCAGACTGGAGAGATGAGTGGGGAGCCGAACTCATGGCGTTGAAAGGGAAGTCCTATGGCTTTGATGTGTCCAGTGATGGGAAGGTCCTAGTTTCAGCAGACTACGAAGGAGTAACGAAAGTGTGGGATATCACCACAGGACATGAGATGGCAAACTTCCGGCATTCCTCTAGGCCTTATGAAATCGCCATATCACGAGACAACACAACGATTGCAACTCAAGTTGAGGACAATGAAATTGCACTGCGGTCTCTTGTGGATGAGGATGAAGCCGTCATGCCTCGCTCCTCCAAACCGTTTGCACACATTATTACCTCACCCACGGATGATATTGTAGCATCGATATCAGCAAACCACACGATTATGCTATGGGACTTGAAAACCTTGAAGGTCGTCGAGCAGGTTACTTATGACGACGAAGAGGGCTACCTCCGTCCACCACTTGTCTTTTCACCTTGTGGACAAGTGCTAATAGCAGGGTGTGGAAGAGAGACTGGCGGGAGCCTCTTTGAGTGGAATTTCAAGGATCAAACGCGAAAGAAGATACGAAAGCATAAGGTAGAGTCCAAACGATCGCAATATCACCCGATGGCGAGAGGGTTGCTTCTTGTGACGAGTGGGGAGATTTTAAAGTCTGGAGCAGGGAGACTGAAGTCACAGAGATGGAAACTGAGATGGGAAGTGGTGCCTATTCAATTACCTGGCATCCCAAAAAGTTGTCGATACTCGCCATCGGATTCTGTGGTTCTATCCTACTTCACGATGTAGCCAGTGCTTCACCGCAAAAGATCAACCACTTCCACTTGCCCGATTCAGTCACGCGTCCAATACATGACTTGATCTTTGCAGGAAGTTCCTCAATCTTGGTATCTAAAGACACCGCAGGCTCTATAAGCTTATGGGATACCGAGATGACAAGTCCTCTGATTACAGGAAAGAGAAGCATACAGTCTCTCGATTTCCTACACGGGAATGGAAACAGGGTGCTGGTAGTCACAGAAGGCTATGCTGAGATATTGGATTCACGAAGAAGGTCCAGACAAACCTTTCTCACTGGCAACAGGACGGTTGCGTGTTCTCCAGCTCAAGACCTTTTTGCCTTCTGTTCATGGAATAATGCAATTCAGTTTTGGAATAGAACCCTGACATTAGTCAAATGGATCCCTGGATCCACCGACGTCTTCTTTCCTCAAGGCGGTACTCACGTGGTCCTCTTGTCTCGCAACAAAGCCCTCGTTTTGGACTATGCCAAGCTTGATATCAAGTGCCAGATTGAGCTTTCTGGAGAGTGGGTGCCTGACGATGGAGTTATTCTTACCAGCCAAGCAATGGGTCTTGTCACCAAGGGGGACGAAGAAGGATCCAGAAAGATTTGGCTGTTTCTGTTGGAAACTGGTACAGTCGTGCCTGGCTTTCCTCGTTCAGTCGGCCCCAAGGAAAAGAAGCCCTCATTGTTCACATCGCCCGATGGCCAGTTCATGATATACGAAGGCACTGATAAAAACAATAGCAATTGATTTGTGGTCACTAATGTAGGAGCCGACTATGAAACCGCAATCCTGGCTTTCGGCGAGAAATATGTTTCCACTCCTCTTACACCACTTACGTTCTCGCCCACAGGAGACCGTGTCATTCTAGTAGCCCATGGGGAGACTTTTCCAGGCCTTGACGGTGACACGTCTCAAGATGGTGGCGAAGGCGTAGTCAACGAAACTGATTTGGGGACCATCTTTATGTGGGATACGAATACCATGATTTTAGTGAAACACCTAGCCCCTGCGGGGTTTCCAATAAGGCACGTCCACTGGTGTACGGAAGAAAGAATAACGGTTGAAACCTGGACTGGTCGAAATGTCGAAATCGAAATATGGGACGTGGAGAAAGAGCGATTACTGCAAAAATGGAAAGTCGGCAACGATCCTTTATCGAGCCATTGTTGGTATAGCGGAGCTGACCGTCACCACTTCAGTCTGGAAGGGGGATGCCTTCCGTCGCCAACAGGCGATAAGGCCGCCAGTTGCAGTACACTCACTGAAAGAGATCCGTATCTATTGGATGTTGAAGGGGGTTGGCTGTGGCAAGGCACTGATAGGCTCATTCATCTCCTACCAGAGTTTACAGCGGGAAACGAGTGTTGGGCATATCAGTTTACGTCTTCCACATTAGTTACCTGGCCTGTTAAGGCAGTTAACCAGAATAACATCGTTCTTGGACTTCGATCTGGTGGCTTGGTATTTGAGTTTGATACGTCGGAGGAACCTTTTAAGAAGTAAGTAGATAAACTTTTAATATTACTTAAGTATGTAGTCGAGATGCCCTCTATTCCGCGATCTTAGTTCCAGTATCTACCCTGTCTGGAGTACAAGGTAAGTAAATTAAGATATAAAGTGGGAAGTTTATACACGGGTCCAGTCCCATCTTTTGCTTTCAGACATAGAACGCTAAAGTGTTTTCGATAGGAACGTGATCTCGTCTTTGATAGGAATGTGTTCCAGTTCTTAACTGAAATTTCTTTTCGCATCATGATTAGGGTTGGGTGCGTGACAAAGCAGACATCTACGATGCTTGTAATCTAATCAACCGCACGCATCTTAGCAGTTATAACTGATCGCCTTAGCTTTCAAGTATTCCCAAAGCTTATTATATTATAATATATGTAAGATCTGGGAATAGACCAGTTACTGCTGTATTGGTTTCATGGCATATAGAGGCATTTATACATAGCTATGTTGGAAGTTCGTATTGCTTGGCAACTTCCGATGGGCCCAATTAAAAAAGTTGCAAGTCCCAACTGGTTACTCGAGCTGTATATAAAGAAAACATAAACCTGTAGTATTTCCATTTAAAATCTTGTATAATTGTGACATCAGGTTTGCTTTACACTTGGCTAGTCCAACGTTGGTCCTACGTCACCATACCAATTACGTCATCCAAGCCAACCTCAACCAAGTTGTCAATCAAGCCCAGCAAAATATAAACCCAGCACCAGCAAACAAACCATTCACAAAAACCAAAATCTCATATCAGAACACTCAATTCACAATGTCAAAACTCGTTAACGACGTCAAGTCCGGTATCAAGGGCATCCACGGAGCCGGCGAAGCTCTCCGCGGCAACGTCCTCGAAGCCACAGACCAAGCCTTCCACACAGACAAGAACGACCCCTCAACCCTCAAAAAAGAAACCGACAACAAGATCGTCGCTGAAAAGGGCAAGCAAGACATGAAGGACTTCGACAACACGCTTGCGCGACGCGAGCATGAGCACCGAGGCATGGAGCCACCTGCGCATGTTGGAAAGAGAGAGACAGAGATTGAGAAGGAGAATGAATTGAGGAGAAGTGAGCGTGAGCTTGAAAGAGTAAAGGCGCAGGATAGACCTAAGGAGGGGCTGAGTCGCGAACCAGGTACGATTTTGCCTGGGGAGACTAGTACTTATGGGACTGGAAGGACTGACGATGATGTAGATGTGCCTGCGCGAAAGTTGGCTTAAGGGCAGCTTTTATTACCACACATTAGTCTATGCTTCTGTGTGGCTCTTCTTGTTTGTTCAGACATCAGATGTCAGCGGAGAGGATTATTTAACGATATATATTTAACGAAGGAGGAAACGGTTGTATGGTGGTGTGTAAACTTGAGATGGAATCAATATACCTAACAGACTGATGTCACAGTGTTAAACCCATTATTCTTTGTGTGATTTATCTATGAATTGAATACTTACATGTCCCCGTACGCATGCGGTTTTTTTTTCTCGCCGCCTATTTCTATGCACTATCTATTTCTTATATCCTTTCTCAGCACTCTCATATTTCTCCCCGAAAGTCTCAAACCACTTATCAGTAGCGCCCGCTCCCATACCCGCACTAATAGTCTCGTCACCCCTCTCAAACTTGGGCACGACCTCATCCATAAACTCCTCCACCGTCAAAGTCTGCGGGGCATGCTCCTTCTTGTTATCATCCGGATTCTCCCTCTCACGATGTAAATCAGTAGCAACCATAGGCGGCGCAAGCTCCACGACTCGAATATTGGTATCGTGCAGTTGAGTGCGCAAGTTCATGGACCAAAAGTGCAGCCAGGCCTTGGTGCCGTTGTACACGGGGTTGATGATGCTGAATGGGATGAAGCCTAGGACGCTTGAGACGTTCATAATTAGAGCGGCTGGCTTTCCTTTGAAGTGTGGAATTAGGTGCAGTGCAAGATGCATGGGACCGCGGATGTTGATGTCAATTTCTTGATCGGCTTTTTCGAGGAAGTCGTCGTTCTTGAGCACTTCAATTGGGCGTTGGACGCCAGCATTGTTGATCAGACAGTCCAGTTCTGGGTGCTCGCTGGTGATTTTCTTGACGAAAGCAGGAATATCATCTGTCTTTCCCGTGTCGAGAACATAGTAACCTGCTGCACCGATCTCCTTGGCTGTGGTTATGAGATTCGCTTCTGTTCGGCCTGCGATGAGAACCTTTTTGCCCTTGGAGATGAGATACTCTGCCAGAGCACGGCCAATGCCACCACCTCCGCCGGTGATGACGGCACAATTGAAAGCGAGAGCGTCTTGTGGCATTTTTAGAATATTTCAAGTTATCAATAACGGCGTAGATAAATTTCGGGTGGCTTCGAGGTCAAGTTCCAGCGCTGTTATATAGTGGAAACCCGATCGGAGCTTCGGCACTTATACTGGGGAAATGTTCGCGTCATCGGAGGCGCTACGCCCGTGGATCTTCAGACAACAGAACACAATCTTGATGAAAACGACACCAAAAAATGACGTAAATTGATTAAAAATGCAACATTGAATATCGCTTGATGGAGTACCTAGTGACTTTTACGTGCCTGTCAGCACTCAATCGTTCCACATAATCTCGGAATTATTTCAAATCTTTCCAATGTCCCCACAAAGAACCTTTGCAATTTTGAAATCCTGCTCAATAGCCGGACTGTAAAAAGCGCAGTTTTCCAGATATCCTAGAGCGAAAGATGTCCATTTTTTATCCACGTCTGATGCGATTTCGCGGATGTATGGGTAGGGTGATACGCTGAGTGCAAAGAAGACGCAGATCTGACCAAAGATTCTGAAGAGAGTGAGTATAAGGTAGCGGAGGAAGGGGAGGGGAGTCTTACTGGCTACAGACGAAGAATTTGAGGGGATTGCAACTTCTCATTGAGTTGGTGACTTGGATGACTGATGCCCATGCGAGAACTGCGTTTATTGCGTCTCGGCATTTTCGGAGGTGGCCTTCTGTCAGCGATGACGGTCTTTCTAGAGCGCGATGTCTTGGGAAATCAGTATTGTATCTTTCCAGGTTTCATGAGTGTTATGCTTACAGCAGTGGTCGACCGATGTGATACCTCGCAACGAAATATCTGGCATGAAGCCAGGCCGTCACGAGCGCATCCGAAGGAGACTCAGCATGCGTCAAAGGCGCTTTGGGATCGAACTGCAGCATGGGCGGTAATCTCTCACGCCACTGTTCTAATTGCCGAATAAGTTCATCTTCAACAGGTTCAGTCGGATAATCAGCGGTCGGATCTATCCCGTTAGCAAACCACCTCACCTCATCTCCACCCTCCGTAGCACTTACTAAAATGAAAAAGACTATTACGCGCCCTCGTGAGGATAAGCCGATGCGCAAGCTGCGACAGGAAGTGATAGTGGAAAAAGGGATCATCACCCGGATATCGAAATGATCCAAAGGATGCTATATCTCGTGCGGAGATGAACTTTGGTAATGCGATGTGTTCTTCGAGTTGGAGGGAGTTGCTTGGTGGGAGGTTGAGTTCTTGGGAGAGGACGGCTTCGAACATGCTTGTTATCCAGAAGAGGCGGGATTGCATGTCTAACATCCATTCGTCGCGATCTCGTGATACACTGGGGAGGTTAGTATTGTCAGTGCTTTGGAGTGGGGGAGTGACTTACTTGTTCCAGAAGAAAGCGCTGCATGCGCTTGCTTTGCTTAGCATTGACCACCAATCCAATGGTCGAAGAGCCTCTGCATAAAACAGGCTGCTGCTGTTAGTCTCACGTCAGAAACCGCGGTGGATCAACATACCCTGAGAGCAAATAGAACTGACAAGCCTGAAGATCCTGCTCGCACATCAAAAAGCCAAATCTCTTCCTCGCTTCGTTGAAAAAGTCTAAGCCCGGCATCTCATCTTCCTGCTCGCTAGGATACGGAGTCGACACAGGCGTCGACGCAAACCTCGCTTCCCGCAACGCTTTCTGTCCCATTAATCCCAGCGCCATAACGACGAGGACGATACAACTTTCGATGCAGATCCCAAAGCTGCCATCAATTGCTACGCCCAACGTACGCTGAAAATACGTCTTCTGATCCAAGATCGGCGTGGCGAGATTGAAAGTTGTGAAATACACATCCGACAACTCCTTCAACGTTGCGATGCTTAGCTTAGAAAGCCACTCAGACGACATATCCACCGATGTGGAATGCGGTAGTTTCGGCCGTGCAGCTTCCAGGCGCGTTGAGTACGTCGGACCATTCATCTGACACATCAACTTCACAGACTCGGGCAGCGCCGACTGGATAGCAGGCCAGAAGAGAACCTGATGCGCGCTGAATGATATCGCCGGATTGGGATCACTTGGTGTTTCGACGATGGTGTCGCGGCGTGCGAGAAATGAAGGTACTCCGAGGACTTCGCTTGAGTTGGCGGGGGATTTGGGATTGAATGGTCGCAAAGCTGTTGAGAGCATACGAGCTGCTTCTAGGGGCGTTGCGTCTGTTTGTTTGCCATCGTCAATTTTACCTTCGATGCGACGGAGGATATTGACGATCATTCCCAGCGACGCTTCATTTCTAGAACCATCAGCAAAAGACTACCCACAAAATGTGCTTGACTCACCGCGTCGCCTTTCGCGTAGTAAATTTACACTGAATTCCCAAAGATCTACAAAGACCACAAGGAAAATCTTCATCACATCTCGTTTTCTTCTGTCGACAATACTCACAAGCCTGTCATCCATGTCAGCCTGACTCATCCTCGTAGCAATTTTTCGTACCTGCCGTGCAATGAAGCCGCGCTGGCGCTTGGAGGGAGGACCCTCGTCGGAGGGCGCCTCGAGGGCTGGACTACTTTCTTCGCGGTCTGCCATGCAAATTGTGGTGGTGGTGATGTTCTTGGCGATGCCGGGGAGGAATGGTAAACTCCGGTGGTGACACGTGAAGGAATTTTTGATGCTTCGGTAGACGGGTATAGGGGGTATAAGAATATCATGAAAGTTGAGCAGCAGCGTTTCATAACTTTACGCAAATCCAGTAATGTGACTCATCTGTCTTGTTTAAGTTCTATCTCTTTTACAGGTAACCATTTCTCATTTAGCTTCACTATTTGTCGCGTATACCCACTGCGTACATCTACGCCTTGGTCGCAACAACAAACAATCTAGGATAAGGCAAAAGAACTTTCCCATCCACCTGCGCCGTATAAGCCTCCTTCAACTTTCCCAAATAAATACTAATAAACTCCTCCTTCGCCTTCTCATCCAAAGGATCAACATAAGGTCGCAATCCAGTTCCTTTGACCCACTCAACAATACCCTCGTGGTTCTCCATAACATGCATATACGTCGTCTGCCAAATATCCAGATCCGCACAAAGAGGCTTCAATCCATCCCAAATCTCAGTCGGTGAAGGAAATTGATCGCGTTCAATGTTTGCGCGGGCAAGAATGTCGATCCAGGGTTTGTTGGGCATGGCTGCTACTTCGCGCATGAGCGCGTGACTAGGCTCGTTCAGATTGTAGGGGATTTGGAAGGCGAGACTTCCACCTGGTGCAAGATGGTTGAGGAGCTGTGTAACAATCTCAATGCGTTTGCCATTGGGCAACCACTGGAACACAGCATTGGAAAAGAGTACATCGACAGGCTGCTCAGGCTTGTAGCTCGTCAAATCAGCCACTTCAAAATCCACGTTAGGCAGCGTCTCCTTTGCCTTGCGAATCATATCAGGCGAAGTATCAAAGCCTGAGACTTTGGCATTGGGATAGCGCTCTGCTAGTACAGCAGTTGAGTTGCCTGGTCCACAGCCAATATCCACGACGCGCTTGGGAGACGCGTTGGGCACGTGGGCTAGAAGATCTGTGGAAGGTCTTGTGCGGTCTTTGAGGAACTTGGAGTATTGGTCTGCGGACCACGTATCTTTTCTTTGGGCCATTGTGGTGCTGAAGGATCTTGAGGTTGGTCGCGTGAGGGTGTTGAAGAGATGACGTCGCGCGACGTGGGACAGAGACATTGTTACTAATGGGGATGAATGTCAGTTGCGTGTAACTTGCGATATCTCTGTCATTAAGTTCAATGTGGGCTTGTGAGTTTATATAAGATTGACCAGTGTTGCCTCGGTCAATATGAGTCCCAGGATAAAGGCTATTCGGCACGCTGGTGGTGATGATGGACTTGGGCAGATGACGGATGCGGCCGAGTCGGTCTCCGATGTTCTCGTCCGAGTGAGCGGGACCGAGTCGGCTGAGTGTCGGCGTTTCGGATGTTACGTCGGCGGGCGATCACGAGAGAAGGGCATTATTCGGCGACAAGTAAAGAAAAACACGAGTATAATAGGTCAGAGACTCGGTCAAAAGCCGAGTTTGAGGTATTCTGAGGAGATTGAATGAGATTTCCAAGTTTGGATTCGGTGTCATTAGATTGGAGCGGTTGATTGTGTGAAGTCCATGTGAGGAATCGTGCTTAATGAACATCCGTAGAAGACGGGAAAGTGAATACTCAGCAACCTTTTACACCAGAGGAGACCAAGTTAAAAAAAAAAAGATCACACACATTATTCTTCTTAAGCTCATTATGGTATCTACTAATATTTACTCCTAGAGAGACCATGTCATGTAACTGATTCACCTTCCTGACCTCTGTTTGCTTCCTACCCTACAATGAGCGACGTGAGATTTACGCGAAAATCCACGCGCCAGGAACATGAGCGTTTCTACAAGCGAGCCAATCAACAAACAGTTCCGGCCGCGTGGCCTAATGGCTAAGGCGCTAGATTTCGGTTCACCAAAATCAAATTCTCTAGAGATTGCAGGTTCGACTCCTGCCGCGGTCGAAAGCTAGCTGGTCCAGTTCTTTTTTTGCGCTTGAAACGGTTTTATTTTGTCAGTCTACTGGTTTATGACCTTCCTGTTGGTGGTTCTACGATGGCCGCTTGAGTCGTGGTAAAGAGTCAGTGCTACTGGGGCTCTCCACTTTACCATTCCAAAGACGTTCACCACCTCGTGAAGTCACTAAAAATAGAGTCGAGAGGCAATACCGTACAAACCTTTCCAGCGGACCTAACCAGCACTTTAGAAAACGAAAGTCATGCATCATAGACAGATTCGGGAGATGCTTCTATCATCCCCATCCGGATACAGTAACTCGTCAGTCAAGCTTAACTACATTTAACTTGCCATTGACGAATTAGAGTTTCTACCAACAGTCAAGGAGCTTAACACCGGAAGGGTAGTTTCCCGGACCAGGCTTCAGATTCTATTGGTCAGACTCTCTATTTCTAGACTACGGAATTCAGCCCTTTGGCTAAGGGAACTCAATTGAACTTTCGCTTCCTGATTCTCCAGTGACATTTAGAGTTCAGACCCTGGTTTCAGCTGGACTCCGGATAAGACGTCAAGTTTCAATATGTAATTTAGCCACGAGGAGAAGTGGAGAGCTGTCCGTCATGCATGAATGTCCATTGGCTGATACACCAGATGAAACCAGGTACTGCCGACTGCTCCTAGGGCTGGTCCTCGGTTGAGATTCAGACATCCCTGCCGATATCGTGTTTGAGACTCACGATAATGCAGATTTTATGGTATGCCGGTAGTTCGATTTTTGTAACGTATTCCCGCCAAGGCGTATTGAAATAACCTTAAAGCTATCACGGGCAAGGTTTACCAGGGGACTGTTTGTCTCATAGCTTCGGCCAAACCGATGGCAAGGCAGTATCCCACATTTTGAGAGTCACGATGCTATTCAGAGAAAAAGAATAGAACTTCTATAAATGTCAAGAGATTCCTCGCTCTAAACTCATATTCTCATCAGCTCAGTTCGTTTCTTCACTTTCATCACTACCATTCACTTCAATACCACTACTTCAATCACTACAAAGTCTGCGACTTTCTTTAACAACCACTATCTTCAAAATGCCTTCTTTCACCACCATCGTCACCCTCCTCGCTGGCTCCGCCATCGTCAACGCCGCCGCAGTCCCTACCGAGCAGCACCTCACCACCACCACCCTCCACACCCGTGAGCTTGCCAAGCGCGAGCCCGTCACCGCCGCCATTCTCACCGCAGCTGGTACTGCGGCCGTCACTGCCATCGTCAACGAAGCCGTAAAGGCGGCCGTTGGTTTCATCGGCGACATCTCCAACTTTGACGCTGGTCGTGAGGCCTTTACTGTGCAGACCACTGAGGCTATGATGGCCAACAACCCCGATCCTGAGCGATTCCAGGCTGCTGCTTGTTACAACCAGGGTTTCTCGGTTGCTGATCCTGCCAACATTGATGGACAGTCTTCTGTTGAGTTTAGCCTTGGTATTCTCAACACTGATTATGAGTGCATGTACATTGCTGCTCCTAACCAGTTCTTCACTGAGGGTGATGGTGGTTTGATCAACGTAAGTTTAAGTCCAGTTACAGAATATCGAAGGGAGCTAACAGTTATTCATAGCTTTCTTTCACTCACACCGACCGATGCACCTTCGACCAGGAGACTGCTGATCTCACTTGTGTTTAAGTGAGGGAAAGGGAAGGAATTCATATTATGTCATGATGAAAGATAAAAGAGGCGGCTGGCTGTCTATATTTTGTTATGAAATGAGTAGAGCAACGTGCTTAGATGGATTCATGTTCCGATTATCCCACTATCAATCCATGTCTGTGCCTTTCATACTGCTGGCCCTTTCCTACATCGATTAAGTTTCGACGAACCTTGATATAATTAACCTTTAACCTTTACAATTTGTTTCGCCGACAGTGTGCCACCAAACCTTCGACAAAAGGTTCTGCTCTGAGTTTCTATGATGCGGGGCTTGTCTGAACAAGTTCATCGCCCAAATGCTGCTGATCACAGACATCTCCATGCCGAACGCTGATTGCGCGCTACGAAATTACACGTGTTGAGGTAAACAAGGAACGTTATTTAACCCGGGAATGTTGAGCCTTCTCAAACTTAGCTCTTCCACTATTTTGCCTTTTTAAAGAACTTCTCTCTCCAACGTGCAATTACCGTTCTCTAAGGATAAATACTACTACTACTTCCACAACTAGGAAAACAATATGACTTTCTTTCCTGCATATATGGAATTTAAGGCGCTCCTCTCAGGAGAAGTCGATTATGAGGCGCTTGCATCACAAAGAACAGCGGTATCAGCATCAGGCTCAAACCAACGAAACCAGTCTTCCAGTAACTCGGGTCCTAGCCGACCACATGATCACACTAGGTATAAGCATCGACAAGAAAACCGTGCTACAGCGCAAGAAACCCTCTCGGTCTTGCCAGACCTTCTTGAAGAACTCGGTACAGAAGACAAGGCTGAGGATGCTACGAGATATTCCTTCGAGTCCCTCCACCAGCTGCATCCCGCCATGTGTCCACACTACCCACAACCCGCTACGATCAAAGTCGTCAACAGCGATACTCTAAACGCCGCTATTGATCTGTCCGGGCTGTTCTATGGCAACTTTCCGAACTCGAACCACGGGAGCAAGCCGCCTTTGGTCGTCAACTTTGCCAATCGCCATAGTCCTGGTGGAGGGTGGCTCAATGGTGCTATGGCACAGGAGGAGGGACTGTGTTACCGAAGTTCACTCGCGATGAGTTTGGACAAGAGTCTGTATCCGATGGAGAGGAGCGAAGCTATCTATAGTCCCTACGTACTCATCATGCGTCAGGATCTGGCTTCAGGGCATGCGATCATGAACGTCCCTGCTAGAGACCTCCCGGTTGTAAGCGCTGTGACAGTAGCCGCACTTCACAAGCCCCCAGTGAAGACTTTGAAGACCAAGATGCATGATGAGTATGAATATGAGACCTCCGAACCTGGAAAGAGAGTCTTTGCTAATGATCGTGGCCGCGATACAACAAAGGCCAAGATAAGACTTTGTCTACGGATGGCTGCTGTGAACAGGCACGACATGCTTGTGCTTGGTGCGTTGGGATGTGGCGTTTATAGTAATCCGCCTGAGGATGTGGCTCATTGCTGGCTGGAAGTACTGCGGGAGCATGAATTTTCGGGGAACTGGTGGCGTGAGGTGTGGTTTGCTGTCTTTGACCCAAAGAAAGATGGCAACTTTGAGGTATTCCAGAATGTACTCGATGGACAGGAGGTTTAAAGTCTACGAGGCTTAGCTTCTATATAGAGTTCTTAATCAAACTATTACTGACACCGTACAGGCTATTCACACTTCAGCGCGTAGTGTAGTGTGGTGATTAAATTTATGACAATGCTAAAGGCTCTTAACTTGCTGCACTGCCTGCCCGGGCGAACCCTGATTGTTCAAATAACAGTTTACTCTTGTACTTGATTCCCAATGGTTGGCCAAGCCTCATAGCTCGGGCCTATTGGCTGTTGCCTAGTGCTGCAGCCTCCGCCACGCTGCGCGTTGATCCATTCGAAAAGAATCGGCGAATTTCAGGTGCGCAGGCCCCAGGCAACATTCAAATATCAAGATATCAGATGGCAATAAACAAATGATAGCAGCACACGTAGCTTATGCATGCAGTATACAGGCCTTCTGTCCATAGTGGAGGCCTCATGTGAGCATCAAATGCGCAAAGGTGGGTTAAATAGCTAACACATTATCCCATTGCTGCTCCTAACACCAGACTAACGAATCGTCTTCCTGATCATTAAACAACTGACATGCCTCTAAATTTCATCCCACCGCAACGGTTTCTGCCGCAAAACTCTGTCAAGCTGGGCCGGTTTATTACAAACATTGATCATCCCCACCAAAACTATCACGAACCCATCAGCCAATCAAATACCCGGGACGCTTACTTCGCCGTTCGAGGCATTATCTGGCTATACATGCAAAGAGAACTCGGCCGGCTTCAGCTCTGTGCTTAGCAATTCATTATCACCAGAACTTTCAGAACAGCTGAAGGCCTGCGTCAAGATCAAGGGGGAACGTGTCAATACATACGTGCTTGACAATCCTGAAGAATGGTTCAATCAGGCCATGTCAGCTCTTGGTACTCAACAATGGATCGAGAGGCAGATCGATAAAGATAGTCGCATTTTCATGATCTTGGGATTTTCCACAATCACAAACGCGCGAATTACCCATGTAGTTGGTAAAGGGTATAGCACCAGTGGCCGAGTTGAGATCCCGGGTATTTCTACAGCTGTTGCCGGTCTACCTATCCTTTTTATTGAGGGTATGGAGCCTTCCGTGGGGGAAGATTGGAATCGCTCTCAAAACACTGTTTCACGGCACCAGGCGAGTACATCTGTGCGTTGCAATATCGCAAGGTCCAGCACAAATGGCTTTCTAGAAAACGACTTGAAGCATTGCAGTTTTCGAAGTCCCCCCGATGGATATCTGTTGAGAGTTCACGAGGTGCCGAAGATAACGAGGATGAAGATAATCAAGATGTTATTGAAGTAGAGACAGTTGAGGCTTCTGAAGAGGATATCAACATACAATTGGAGATGATATTCATGCCTGAAAATGAGACACTATTAGTAGGCAAACAGGAAGATTGGACTCTGTTATCAGATTGAGAAAGGACCAGAGCTCTCTTTCAATAGCTCACTGTTAAAAGAATAGAAGTGAGCACTGGTTTCTATAATCTATACTAGTCTATAGGACTATTCCAATTGATACAATGACAGCCATCAAAGCTAAGCCAATCCCACCAATTGTCCTATCTGCCCCGTTGTCTGGAGTATCACCGTAGCCAATATTGGCAGGATTGTTTCCGAACCCAACTGTACGCTGCCACACAGGTGAAGAGTTTTCGAGACTCAGAACGTCAGAATGATATTCATCGAGAACACCAGAGAAGTTAAAGGAGACGCGACCAATCACGCTACTATGCCTCCATGTAGGTAGTGACGGATTATCCACAACCTCGTGATAATTCGGTTGCTTGATCGCATATGCAACCCAAAAGGCAGCGAAGGTCATATTGGCTGTCTTGTTGTCAAACTGTAAGCTGGTCTTGGGATAGTCATACTCGACCGACCCAGTCCAAAGACCCTCGTCTTGTGTAAAGTAGTATCCCTGGTCCAAGATCGTAACTCTCCACTCATCCTTGTACTCGGTAGAATTGCAGACCGGTACCTTCATATTCTGCCAGGTTGCGGCATCTAGCCCTGCCACTGTTTCGGTAAAATTGTAAGCTCCTCCTGTGACCTGGGTAGTTGTAAAGTTGAAGTAGTCAGGGCCAGTGTGAAGTCTATAGTAAGGAGCATCAAGTGGCCTGAATAAAATGTTAGTGAAAAATTACTCAACGCTTTAGTTAAACTTACTGAGCCGAGAAAACGTAAGAGCGATTTTGTCCATCGCGCATCCACCATGCTCCGAAGTCAGAGACATTGGTAGGCCCAGAGGCTTGCGGCATAAGAGTAAGCCAGAATTCTAGTGAATTATTTCCAGGGTTCTCCTTCCGATGTTCTAGAACGCTAAGGATGGCATCGTATTTAATGGTAGTAGAGAAGTTCCTGACCTCCTCGCATTGCTTATGGGGCTCGACATAAGGAGTAAAGTCGACTACAAACTCGGCCTCTACCGTAGCATTATAGTATCTGTAAAATGTTAGTTAAGCGTTCAAGAATTACTGAGAGGAATTAGACTTACGATCCGACCCAGCTGTAAAAGTCACCGAGCCCGGTGACGTTTTCGGGACGACGGTTCTCGGTAGGATCATATTCCTTCTTCTCTTCCTCTTCCTTTTCCTCTTGACTGAGGCTTAAGGTTATGAGAGAGAATAGGAAGACAGCGCTTAGGAATATCTGTTTGAAAGCTAACATCGTGGCTAACTGATAAAGATGCGACAGTACCAATATGGCATGAGATAAAGGCTTAAAAGGCGCTGAACGCGACTATTTAGTAAGTTGAGTTGGTTGCGCTAGGTAATCTCGCTTAAAGGCCCGGTGACTTCTTCTGTTGGTTCTTCTGTTGGTTCTGAACTCTTGGCTGTCTTGGCTTTTCCTACTTGCTCTGATACTATTGGTCTGCCGTGCGGCGAAGCACCAGTTGTTGCCGTTAGCCGTTTGTGTCATGATAATACGGCAGGTGCTACAGATTATGGTCTTATATGGGGAGCCTTTTAGGCTGATTACTTGTATACTATTGGGTAACAGAAAAATCATCTTCTAAGACCCAGGGCGACAACATCAAGCGGAGCAGATGTTGTCTGAAGCTTGCATGACTTGACTGAAACAATGGGTCTCTTATGTTCCCAGCGGTCGATTTCATTTGATACACCAAAGACAGACTGTATTAGTGCCTCTCGGGAAGACCTAGCAATTGGAGGTCATAAAGGCACAGAGAATGCTTATAGCAAAAGCAACCACTTATGGAACTGCCTGCGTCCATGAAGATGCTTGGAATAACTTATTGGTAATCACCGAACCTCGTAGTCATGCCCGATTGGGCTTCTTGCTACCTGCACCAAGGGGAGTCCCAGTTGCAACTTCCTTTTACAGTCACTTTCCTTCACCATATTGCCACTTGACATCGGAAGGTGCTCTTCCCATTAGACTGATCAAAGCTTTTCGTTCGTTTCTTAATCTTTCTTCTTCTTTATCATCATCCGTTGCCGCTCTTCATTCACATTTGTCAGTTTACAAGTCATTAGTCTACTCAAAAGTACCATCCCAGACGCACTACTTAATTCTCTTTAGCTTTGTTTTACTACTATAGTGCTTAGCTATATACAACCATTCGGCATGACTTCACCAGCATTATCTTCCGCCTCCGCCTCAGTTAATCATATGACACCTGAACAGTACCGCACAATGAGGCACTTCCAGATGGTGGCTATCAGGACATGACCGTGCGCCCGTAAGAGTGGGAGAAGAATTGGCCGGTGAGAGCCTAAGAGACGAAATAATACTCTCACCTTATGTCACTTTAGTCAAGAATTTAGACTATTTTATTCTAATATTGTATGCTTTGAAAAGTATCTCTTTCTGTTGCGTCTCTGCCTCGGTAGGCTGATATAATCTTCGCTACATCCGTTGGTGCGTAAAAGAGCAAGTCGGCACACACTTACCTTCGACCTACTTTCTGCCGCAAACAGGCTTTGATTCGAGACAGACGTGTCACACCGGTCAAGAGGACTGCATTCAGCTGCGCCCAGAAAACAGAAAAGCAATGGAAAGGTTGTTCCGACTCCATCGATTGAGACGGCTTGCAACGACAGGCTTGGGACATCTGTCTTGTTTCTATGGATACTCAGCAGGGTAATCAAGTTTATGCGCTCCAGGGATGCAATGTTCTCATGGTGCTAAGAAGGATAACTGGGTCCAGGCACAATGTCATCGGGGGATCCTATTTGCACGGCTTTACGGAAGGCAATGCGGAACGGATCCCAGGGGATCAGGTCGGATTGAGTGATAGTTTGTAAAAGCTTGTTTTAGGTTTATAGCCCAAAATGATGTTTTCGACCTTGTCTAGCACGCGTTTGCAACACACTTGATAATTATGTATATATACTAAGAATAGTAAACGCAACTAGGCTGCAGCATACTCCATGTGATATACAACGATCACAGATGAGTACAAGTATATATTCCTCTCCTTGACAGTAGCTCGTGCGATATCATGTGCGGCTTTAACAGCACAACGGGCACTTCAAGTCTATGATAGAATTTTAGCAAAACAAGATACAATCGGCCAGAATATAAAAGAGCCCTTACCTAGTAGGCACCAGCAGCCGCAAGGCCTGCGATGGCAGCAACAGCAACAACTCCGAGTCCAGTACCGCGAGCTCCAGAGTTCTCAGCAGCGCTGGTAGAGGTGGCGGTGCTTGCAGCAGTCTCGCTGACTGAGCCAGTGGCCGCTTCGGCACCAGAGTTGGTAGCCTTGGCAGTGGCAGTACCAGTCTCAGTGGCAGAAGCAGTAGCCCAAACGAAGGTAGAGCAGAATCCGCTGACAGGAATGGCGTAAGAAGAGAGCTGCTCATTGACCTCAGGGACATCACTGCAAGCGTCATAGACGCTGGAAATATCCTCCTTCATCTCAGAAACCCAGCTCACCATGGACTTGGCGTAAGAGGTATAAGCAGCGGCCATGGAGCCAGTGACTGCTGGGATAGTGCAGGACTCAGCGATGTCGGCGACGTCGGTCTGCTTGGCGAGGAAGCTTTCGAGGGTCTTGTCGGCAGTGGGCATGTCGCTCATAACATCGACGAGACCGCTGGCAGCTGAGGTGCAGGCGTCAATGTCACGCTTAGCGGCGTTGACGGAGCCAGCCATGGCGGCGGCGAAAATAGAGAGCTTAGTGACTTGCATTTTGTTGGAATGGGTTCAAAAGAGTGTGGTGAAATGAATATTGAGATAGTTGGCTGGAAAACTGACGATCTGATAAGGAACTAAACAGCGTTCGGGATGACCTTATATAATCCATCTCCTTTGCATTAAGGGTTGTCACTGAATGAGCTTGATAATAAAAGTGGGATCGCTCACGCCGTCGGTCCGTTGAAGATGCCTGAGAGCTGAACCTCGTGATCCACAGGGAACCTACTGTCGCGATTTGATAGGACGAGAAACCAAAAGATCGTCAAGGCCCTCTCGGCATTGACCCATTGTGTCGGCAGTTACCGAATGGAGTCAAGAACGTTCATTTCCATGAAAAGTTTAATTGTGAATCAATTTGTCTTCTGATGAAAGTCTAGCCTCAATTCGGAATGCGAGAACGCGCTTTGACAGAGGCTAGAAGACTTTAGTTTGTCCTGTCACGAAAAACCGCGCCCTACAACTACCACTAATGCAGGGGTTATACGCGTCGGATAACCAATCATCCACTGGCTCCTGATGCGGGGACCAACTCTGTAATGGCGGGTTTTCCTTGTGAATATTCGTCGAGAACAGAACATTTACATCAGAGGCATGTGACGTGTGAACTCTAGTTTACCACAATGCGAGTTTTTATCTCACAGAAAATGATCTACCACTGTGTGCCTGTTTCTTTCTGCCGTCCATAAACGGTAAACAGCGCAAGGGAAACATTTACTGTCACGAACAACGCCCGGCTAAGTCTAAAGTCTTGAAGTACCCGCACCTGGATAATACAATGACAATTAATAAGTCAGAGTCTGAACCTCCATTTGCTTACTATCACCTGGTGTAGGTGCTTCGGCAGTTCCAGTTACGCGTTGGAATAAAACCGTTATAGGGTAGCCGTCTTATCGATAACGATAAATCGGGGTTGAAATAGCTTATGTAAATAACGTAATAGAGTGACTTAATCAACGTCATTAAATAGCTAGAGCTGGTGGGTAAACCGTGTCTACTCATAGTATCGATCCAGCTTCAGCGTTTGTTGAGTTAGATCAGTTGTCAAAGCAATTCTTCCAACGTCTTGATCGGGGTACACGTCGCGAATCTAAACCTGAACATCCCCAAAAACCTTCAAACGATCCTCACCACTAAAACCACTTCCAGCCTGATTCGAGATATTAACGAACGGAGTATCCCTCGTCAAGCCAGGTACACCAGTGAGGAAATCTGGTGCCCGAATTCGCCATCGAATGATCACGTTGGCAACTGCACAGATAACCAACGCCGCCGTGGAGATAACTGTAACGCTAAGCCACAACCAATCGACCGCGTAGGTGCGTTTCGCAAACTGAGTCCAGGTCGCTGTACTGCTCTTCCAAGGAAACTCAACATCTTCTATAATGACTCCATCGCCACCGGTCAGAGCAGTCAGGTTATAGGATGCCACAACAAAGGTATTCAAAACCGTGGCAAGCCGTCTTTCTAGAAGTCGTGCAGATGTATGGGTGTAGCAGCCCTGAATGTCACGGTCGAGTGTTGTGTTCCAAGGCCTATTACCCTGGCGGCTCAGTGTGCTCGTTGGGTCTCTTAGATAATATGCCAGGGTGCTTGGCCCCTTTTGACCTCCGTGTTCAGTTGCGCCGGTGAATGGGATATCGAACAAAACACTCTGGGCCATACGCAAAGAAGACAGGGCCGTTAAGTTTCCCTGGTTGGGGTGAAAAGGCGCTCGCCGTATGCGGACGGCTCGACATATAAGGTCGGCATCAGGAGTTACTCTGGTGCATCCTATTGCCATCTCGGTATATGAGATACTAATATCGCAAAGCCTCAATCTCGTAATCTCCTTGCAAGGGCTTACAGCACAAAATACACACTCGCCCCCTAGAACAAGCTGAAGATTAGAATGCGCCTCAAGCTGGACACCTCTCGTTTTCAGTTGTTGACGTGCTGCAGATGTATTTGCAATGTCAAACCAGATGTTCGGGTAGCCCCTGACACTTTTGTTCTGGTTGCCTTTGTTACTTTCGAAACCTGAAAAGATGGTTTCGTAAGACTGCAAAGCTAATCGGACGGGGGAGGTTGTGTTATGGAAAACAGGGACGTGGAACCGTTTTTGACCCAGCTGGCACCGTCTAGGTCTTCACCGCAGTTGAGTCTTTGATAGTGGAATCGAACTGTCATGGTTAAGTTGCCAGCTCCATTGAGAAATGGGGTTCGAATTGGAAGCCCTATGAGAGATACATAAGGCACAATCTCGTCCAATGGGACTGTGACCCATGATGTAGGATTCTCGTCGTCATATCCAGGTAAAGGCTCAAGGAAAGGCACACGTACATTGCGCCACAAGTCTCGGTACCCAAGGCGAGGTGCCTGGGCTGTACCCCCAAGTTCCTTGATGACATTGTCAAAGTTGGGACTGCTGGTATTGGCATGTAAGACTAGAATATCAGGACTGGAGAATGGGGCAGAGTAGATACCCCGCATTCCAGCAATGAAGTTTGACCTTATCGATGCGCCGTAGTGTACATAAGCTCCATGACTATAATATGCCTCGATTTCACTCTGGTTATTACCAAGATAGTGAAGGGCTGGTGTCTGTGTAGTGTTGATGTTGTGCTGTATGTGGATGGAGCGAAGGGCTGCTTGACCTCCTAGGGGGCCCAATAGCCAGACTGCAGCAACGACAACAGCGGTCACTTCTTTGATTCTTCTGAGTGTTAGAAGGTTTACTAATGCGGCAGCTGTTGTCTGACTGGTAAGGAGAAATTCGAGAGAAGTTAATGTCGTGCCCCTCTCAGCTTTCAGTAGTGCGACAGTCTTAAGAAATGGCCCTAGCACAGCGGCGAATGTAACAGGCCACAGTGTAGAGGCAATTTGAAGGATTTCAATTACTGTATCGCCGAAAGAGCTTTGTTCCTTGTTGTGAAAGTAGAAAACCATTGAGACGAGGACTAGTCGAGCGTGAGAATGCATACAATACTGTTGTAAGATTACATACCTATGTAAAGGGTAGGTACAAGAAGAAGAGCTATCGGCGCACCGACCCTTCTCAGCAAAGAGGGTGCTGACTGCCTCAGTGATTGAGCGGTTCCTGCTGTAACTTTGTTCTCAGCCTCAGAGGAATCTGATCGCTCTGATATAGCCATTAGACCTCGCTTCTCAGGCTTCGTAGCAGGCTCCATTGTGACGAAGACTGGTAGCCAATATTCAGTAGATTGGAGGATAGAACGCGATATCTAGAGACAGGAGATGGATTTGCAGAAAGCGGGGGCTTGGTTCAAGTACTACAGCCTTGTGGCTGAGATCCGCCTTACTGATACACTAATGTGTGCGGATTACAGAATGTGCATCTCAAAAAGCCTTACTAGGGGGACTAATCTCGCCCGGCTAACCTTGGTACCTTTGAGGCCATCCAGTGGACATTGCTGTTACACAGACTATTGATATCACCGGGGTCAGCTGAAGTCCCTAACTACCACATTATTGGCTCCTAAGAATGTTATCTGTTACAGCGCCCCCAAACTGCTCTTTTCCCCCGAAGGACAATGCGATTAGATTTAAGAGCGTTTATCTATAGGTGCTGTTACTTAAGCATGCAGTGTCAGAGATTGTGCAACGGGCAGTTATAGCTTATCTGTCTATTAAGCCAGGTGGAGTTGTACATGAAGTTAAGTGCAAACACACGAGACCCCGTACAACAACCAGTCTACAATTTACTAGCTAAAGAAAGTTACTATGTCTTTACAATAAAAGAAAACCTTTTCAGTAAAATTAATAATTATAGTTATCTTAAAGTAGTGATCGATCTGTAATTAGCCGGTGAACTGATTCTAAATATAGCATCAGAGTCTTGCCTAAACACTGACGTAATGAATGGAGGTCCATTTTACCCCGCAATACTGGAAAGTCAATTATCCATCAGACTAAAAGGATCTTTCGACAGACAACTATTCACTCAATCGAAAGAAGAAAATTAGTAAAAATGGCAAACCAGGAGATTCCAACCTGCCGCTGGGGCATCTTGAGTAAGTCCCAATTCACCAACCCATGCACTGTCACCCTGACATCAGATACACAGCCGCTGGTCTCATCTCCTCCTGGTTCGTCTCAGACCTCGTCTCTCCCAGGGACGATGCGAAAGCCAACCACATCATTCATGCCATTGGCGCATCGTCTGTGAAGAAGGGCCAAGACTTTGTCGACAAATTCATGACCAACGTCGAGAAGAAGCCTGTCTTGTACGGTACTTACGAAGAACTTTACAATGACCCCGAGATCGACTGCATCTACATCGGCAGCCCTCACGGCCTTCACTACCGCGACTGCATGGCGGCTATCAATGCCGGAAAGAACGTTCTCTGCGAGAAGGCTTTTACGATCAACGCCAAAGAGGCCCGTGAGGTTTTTAAGGCTGCAAAGGCGAAGGGCGTCTATGTTGCTGAGGCCATGTGGCTGCGACACCGACCTATGATCGCTGAGATCAGAAAGCAATTGTACGAAGACAAGGTCATTGGCGAGGTTACACGCACCAACTGCGACTTCCACGCGCACTGGGACTTGGATGCTCTTCCCGAAACTTCGCGACTTAAGAACATCGAACTAGGCGCTGGTACCCTGCTTGACATCGGTATCTACTCACTCACTTGGGCCATCACGACCCTGGACCCCTCAACCCCTGCCGCTGGTGGAGCCAAGGCTGCAGCACAGAGCGATATCGGTAGCGAAAAGCCTAAGATCATGGCGACGCAGTCGTTCAATGGCAAGGTCGAAGTTGGCACCAGCGCTATCTTGCATTACCCCAGCAGTGGACGACAGGGTGTTATCACCTCGACGGGAAGCTCTGCACGCGGTGGTTCGCATATCTTTGGAAGTATTGAGGGCACTGATGGTTTCATCGAATTGGAAGGAAACGCGCCGTCTCATCCGACCGCCTTTATCGTTTACCCTCGCTGGTCTGAGGGTGCTAAACCTGAAGGCAAGCGGTATGAGTGGAGCCTGAAGCCTCGACAGGGCTTCCAGTTCGAAGCAGACAACACGGCGTTGGATTTACAGGCTGGTAAGAAAGAGAGCTCTATCATGCCCTGGTCTGAGACTATCCATGTCATGGAGATCATGGATGAGATTCGACGACAGGGTGGTACGAAATATCCTCAAGATGAGTAGAGGCTAGTAAGAAGATACTATGCATGCTAGTGCTTTCTGGCCCGTCCAAAGACAAGAGTGACGGTGTTGAATATCGTAATGTATCTAGAAAGTGGAAGTATGTCTATATATATGCATCTTCAGTCCTATAAATAGGTATCAGTGAAAAAGTACCATAGGAACCAAATCAATACAACTACTTACCAATCATCTTCAGTCACTATTGGGTTATGACTCCCAATCATCTGGCGTCCTGGATCATGCACCAGGAAGCGTACTCTGCCACTCCTTGAATCTTCTTCATTGGCTTCCTCGTCTAGAGGTACGGCCTCTCGAACAGTTCCGAAAAACGCGTTGGGAAAGGAACTAAGGATGAATTTTCGAATTCTTGATATTGCCAGTTAGCTTCGGAGGTATTCATCAGAGGTGCGCATGATAGAGCTTGACTTACTCTTCTGCATCATAACGCTCCCCATATGGAACATCGTAGGCCGCGTAGGCGCTCGGTGATGATGGATTCACATTGACATCATTGATTCGCATCAGGGTCCGTAGGTACCGGTGTCGGGCGATACGATACACGGTGAATCGACCCTTGACATTGTACTCCGACCATAGTAGACGCGCTAGCCCTTGAAGGTCACCAACGTGTTCTGTAGTTGATAATAGATAAGTATCGAGTCGAGGTCGATCGAGATGTTTCCAGAACACATCGAAGTTATGTTGACGGTATTTCCATAAACGATACTCGTAAGCTTCTTCAATTAGCACCAACAAGGAAAGGAAGAGGAAGAAAAAGAGGAAGGAGAGAGTCAGCCACGTAGAGCAGATTACATACATGGGCTTCGACGACTGAGATCAATACTGTTGGTACGAGTGGCAATTGAACAGACCCCTCGCGGGTTCGAATATACATTTTTGCCGTCAAAGGCAACGCAGGCACAATCAACGTCGAATCCTGTAAGCATCTCACTAATCGATTTGTATAGTCGAAGTATAACCTAAGGTGAAAGATGTTCTTAAGAAACAGGTTTATCTCCAGAACTGTTGAGCGTACGTACCTGGATGTGGCGATACGGCCATCGAGGTGCAATAAATGTGATGGCATTTTCAGACCGTAAAGTTAGACCGGCTCCTTGTGCGAGCCCTTGTCGTTCCCGTACCTGGCGCTCTATCTCGTATATTAGCTTGATCGCATCGTCTTCGCTCTCCAGACCATAGAGGAAAAGGTCAATGTCACTCGATTTCGCAACGTGTCTATATCAAGTAAGTGAACGTTTAAAAAGGAATCCTAATGGATGGAGCAACCTACCTATAGTAAGCCTCCCATGGCTTTTCTATTGTTGGTGCCTCCTTTATCTTGCCAATATCCTTTCGGCGGGGTAGTAAAGGCAGCAGTGTGGCAGAACCCGCAACCACGACGTGGTCTAACTCGGCTTCGAATTGACTCATGTCAGCAAAATAAGAATTCGAGTGCTCCGGTGCGGATATAATACCTAGTCCAACTAAGGTCCCTGGGAATGTGAGTATTTCTGTCACCAATATCTGGAACAAAGTTGCCATGAGAAGACTAACCGTAGGTGAAAGCATCGAAGCGCTGACGGTAATCTTCTATAGTTGGTGTAATAGCCAAATCACCATGTTTTATGATGGCATTCGGCTAGAGCTTCATGATATAACGGCTGTTCAGTACATCATCATCGCGATCGGTTGTTATGCTGTGAATATGTGGATTGTCGTAGATAGAAATAAGGTTAGCAAAATCGTCAATATTATTCCCGCCCGTTGGGGGATTAGCAAAGACTTTGCGCAGAGACTCTTCGTAAGAAAGGTACTGTTGCATCAAATCGAACGTGCTGTCCTCTGAGTGTTGGTGGAGATGCGAGATAAACTCTGATGGGGGAGGTGTTGGAATAGGTATATCGGCGATATCGATCGTGACCTCCTCGTCGGCTTCTGGGATCGGAACTGCTGATAGTGCCAGGGGAAAGATCTGAGAAATGTCGCTGGGCGCTTGCTGGCTGCTGCCCAAGTGACTGAGTGAGAGATTGTCTTGGAATTCTGCTGAGTGTAATTGTGAACCATTCCTCATTTCGCTAGCACTTAGCTCGCTGAAGGCCTGCTGGTTGCTGTGTAGATCGTTGACAGAAAAACCCGATTGATGCGCATCAGAGATTTCCCTCTCATTATCAGCAGGCTCGCTGGAGGCAGGGCGACTCCTGTTTGCAATGTTGATAGAGATATTTGTCCGGTACACGTCTGAGCCTGACTGCGAATCCCTCCCGCTCTCATTATCAGCTGGTATGCGGGTGCCTGGCTGACCTCTGTCTGCATTGTAGGTGGAGAGACTTGTTTGGTACGCATCTGAGTCTGATTGTGGATCCCTTTCCCTCCAACTTCCTTCCCTCTGTCTCCTCTGCCGAGTTCTCTGTTGGCGGCGTGATAGTCGCCGCTGATGGGAGGGATGAGCATGCGTATCACGAACTTGGACTGTGCCCTGTGAGGAATTGGGTGGTGAAGTTTGTCGTCGTTGGCGACGATGCGAGGGACGCTGCCGAGAATGTCTTTCAACCACTCGAACACTGTCTGGCGATATATCGCGTAGTCGTCGCCAACAGAAGAGATCAGAAAGACCCATGGCCGTTTATGGGGTAAGTTTGTTTCTTCGTTTGTATTGTTTAATGCCGGTTGGATCCCAAGACTTGCGCAGTAAGGCGAAGAGGGTATGCAATGCATAAGACATGTGACAAGTCCATTTAATACTGGATATTTTGGAATACCAATCTGGTCTAGAATGCTTGATAAACTCTCATCATTACCCTGTTTCCTGGTCTGCGCCAAGGGTTGGATCAACAGGCAGATCTTCCGTTGAAGAAGCGGCTGATGGGCTCGGGCCGCCTTTCGGAATGCCCATCTGCATACCGCAGTCTTATCCTTGCACATAGAGGCGTCTAGATGAAAGACCTCATATGCTTAGCCAATTGAGACCCACGGAGGGCTCCGCATGACACATGGACGTCTTGGCGACTGCCTGATATGCGGATGATAGCGACAGACTTCTTGATCCAGCCATGATATGATCCTCAGTAATATGATTGATAAGATTGGGCTCAATATTCAACAAGCAGGTCGACTTATATGGATGGAGTGAGTCTATTTCTGTAACGATGGTTGCTGCTGAAGACTGTGGCTGGTTGTAACATGACTGAAGAGTACCAATCAACATCGAACAGCTGTTCGGTTGCTGACACAGAGCGGGTTTTGTTCTTGATACTTGTAAACAGACGGCGAATCCTTTGCCTTTTCCTGTGGTCAGCCAATTTCGCTGGCATTGACCCCACAGCGTCTATCACACATCAGTGTGGAGTTGTGGATTGTGCCACGCAGTCACACTCTGTGCGCTTGACCGAGCCGAAACCTCTGTCAACATCCCCGCAGGCTACCTCATATGCTTTACAATCTATATAATCTGTAGCAAAGACATACTGAGAGGACAACAACGAAGTCAGCACAGGTCACCTTTTCCCATGTCATCCTTTGTATCATACATCCCTCTCTACACACAGTAAGGCCCGCAATACTATCGCAGACCATGTCTCAGTCGTTAAGACTCGGGCCTGATGGACAGCCAGAGGAAATTGATACCACTGGTATCTGTCTTTTGTCGCTCGATGGTGGTGGGGTGAGAGGACTCTCGACGCTCTATGTCCTGCAAAACATTATGAGACGGGTGAACCACGAACGAACGCAAAATGGTCTAGGTCACGCTAAGCCCTGTGAAGTGTTCGATCTCATTGGGGGTACGAGCACAGGTGGGTGAGTGTCATCTACACGCAGAGACGATCTATATTGATACCAATAGACTGATTGCAATAATGCTTGGGAGACTCGAGATGGATGTTGACGACTGTATCGAGGCCTATAACGAATTGATGGAGGAGGTATTTGGTGCAAGACTTCATAGGTTTCCAGTCAAAGGTGGTGGAACGATGCAGCCACGCTTCGATTCGCGAAAGCTCAGGGCTGCGATTGAGACCGTCATTGAGAACAACAATGAAAGCCGTCAGGCCCTCCTGCATGACGGCGAAAAGCGTGGTTGTCATGTGTAAGATCGCTCCATCACCGTTGCGAAGGCAATTACTAACGAGTCTAGTGTTGTCTGTACCGCTTCCAAGAAGCCGTACGACATTACTAGACTTAGAAGCTATGAGCTGATTGATGGGGCGGCAAACATCCCTGCTACTATCTGCGAGGCCGCTCTGGCAACCTCGGCGGCCACTGGCTTTTTTGATCAGGTCCAAATCGGTGACCACCAATTTGTTGACGCGGCGTTAGGTGAGAACAACCCAGTTAACGTAGTAGAGCGAGAAGCATCGGATATATGGTGCCCCGACTCGGGTAACCTGCAGCCTTTGGTTAAGTGTTTCATCTCTATTGGTACTGGGAAGCCCGACATGGCAGCAATCGAGGATTGGATGCCCAAATTCCTGACCGAAACACTTGTCAAGATCGTGACAGACACCGAAAAGACTGCGACGTCTTTCATTTCCCGGTGGAGGGGACCTTTCGATGGGAAGCGTTATTATCGCTTCAACGTTGAGCAGGGGCTCCAGAAAATCGGCCTTCAAGAACATAAGAAGAAAGGAGAGATAGAAAGGGTGACTCGAACGTATCTTGACGATCAGGTACAGAGATTCGCTGTGCGTGACTGCGCAAGGAACATGGCGAGAAAGCAGAGTGTGTATATCGAGAACTTCGCTTAGAAAAGAATCGTAACTTATTATTGATTCAGACAAATCCGAGAGAACCCTTGAGAAGAAAGTCACTAATGGAATATCATTCATGACCAAAGAGGACTTGAGTTGCCTCCAGCAGCTCGTGGTAGTCATTCCAAAGGATCACATGCGAGAGATCGAGGTCCAAAAGGGTGGACTTCTTCTTGACTCGTACCAGTGGATCCTCCATGAAGGGGAATTTTTGAGATTCATTGATTGGACGAATCAAGAATCTTCACCCAAACAGCACCAGTTACTTTGGTTCAATGGGCATGCAGGCACTGGCAAAACAATGCTTCTGATTGGCATTATCAAAGAACTGAACACGCAATGCAAGGTATCGGGGCATAGCTTGTGTTTCTTCTTTTGTCAGGGTGGAGAAAGACAACTTAACAATGCGGCAATGGTTCTACGATCGCTCATTTGGGAGCTCCTTATGCAACAACCCCATCTCATACGCCATCTAAGGAAGCAGTATGATCCCGTCGGCCCTAGACTTTTTGAAGACAACAAAATAGCATTCCGAACACTAGAGGATGTATTCTCAGAGATAACAAAGGACCCAGAACTATTACCTGTTCATTTTATCATCGATGCTCTCGACGAGTGTGAGACTGGCACCCCGGGGCTTCGTGAACTTTACCATCTCATCTCGACCTCGATTTCTAGAACGCAAAAGATCAGATGGTTGGTCTCTGGCCGTCCTGAAATCGACCTTGCCGATCACCGAGAACTAGATGGTCTATTCTCCGATATCGAACTCGGTGCTCACAATTTGGAGGAAGCAGTCAGTGCTTATATCAACTACAAGATAGCCTCCCTCCATAGGAGGAAGGGCTATGACGACGAGGTCATTGAAGGAGTGTCGTCTGAGATCAACCAACGTGCTAATGGAATTTTCTTGTGGGTTGCTATTGTGTTCGCAGAGCTTGATGCTAACAACACTAACGGAGCCTACGCTCTTGATAACATCAAGACTTTACCACAAGAACTGGATGATTTATACGAACATATTATGGTTAGAATTGAGAGGAGACTGAGTGTCGATGTGCGGGACTGCAAGAATACTCTAATTTCTGTCCTATTGGCTTATCGTCCCTTGTCCGCTTTCGAGGTCTACACACTTGGCTCGCTGCGGTCGACTATTGATGTGGAAACAGTTGTCAAAGAGTGCGGGTCCTTTCTTTGTATAACTGAAGAAATGGTGCATATCAGACATCAGTCAGCAAGAGAGTATCTCACAAATGTCTACAAATCAAGGCTTGGAATAGGTGGACTAAGTCACGGCCATTCAGACATTTGCCGGCGGTGTATCGAAGCAATGATGACATCAAAGCATGGCCCCAACGAGTCAAAGCGTTCTACTGAACAGCAAAAGCCACCATTGAGGTCTACCTCAGATTGCTCGACCTCGATAAGGTACTACTGCCGGTACTGGGCCTCTCACCTCTGTGAAAGTCGCAGTAGTGGCTTTCAGAAAGGCTTCGTTGACGACAAAACTGTCCTGGAGTATTTAGAATGCCAGTTTCTCCACTGGATAGAGGCTCTTGCTGCCATGGGGTGGTTCTCAGAAGCTGTACCTTCCATTCGAAGGCTTTTGCAGACCCTACAGGTATACCTCTACGTTCAATGCTGGAACAAAACATCCTGACATGCTCTAGGCACCTGACAGACCTGCATCTAATCTTGTGTTATTTCTTGAGGACGCCAACAGATTTATTCTCAGTTTTGGGGGCATTATAAGTCGAGCTCCGATACAGCTTTACGGATCCGCACTGACTTTCAGCCCGGAAAGCAGCCGAATAAAGAAGACTCACTGGAGCCAAAGGCTGCCTTTCATCAAATCTATTGAAGGGTTGTGTGAACATCGGGATCTTTCCCTGCAAATACTGGAAGGCCATAAGGATGTGATTACAGGTGTTGCGTTCTCGCCAGATGGCCATACACTTGCCTCCAGTTCACATGATAAGACAATACGTATCTGGAACATACAGACAGGCACGGTTCGCCATACTTTGCGTGGACGTTTCGGTTCAGTGAGAGATGTGAGATTCTCTCCAGATGGTAGAACGGTTGTGTCAAGTTGTGCCAACTCCAATATCTACAGCTGGGACGCCGAAGAAGGCAAACTGCAGGGAACGCTTGCCGGACATACTGCTTCTGTATCATCCGTGACTGTCTCACCAGACGGTACTACGATAGCTTCAGCGTCACGGGATAGTAAAATTAGGCTATGGGATAGAGCAAGTAGCAGGTGTTGGAAAGTCCTTGAGAGGCATAAAAGACACGTTACTGCCGTCGCGTTTTCCCCTGACGGTATGAGACTGGCGTCGTCATCACATGATAACACTGTTGGGTTGTCAGATGAGAAGGGGCAACGTTTCAAACGACTCGAAGGACACACTGCTTTCGTTGTGGCAGTTGCCTTTTCACGTGATAGCAAGGTGTTGGCGTCGTGTTCCAAGAACTCCCAGATCCTATTGTGGGATACCGGCACAGGGACTTTCCAGAGGAGGATCGACGGAAATGGGCAACCCTTCGCGGCGATCGCCTTCTCACCTAGCACAGGTACTTTGGCATCTGCATGCAATGAAGCAGTCTGGATTTGGGACGATACATACACATCCCACAAGGAACTGGGAAGACATCATGGTACAGTCACAAGTATTAAATTCTCACCCAACGGCGATATGCTTGCTTCAGCCTCCACTGACAAGACTGTCCGTCTTTGGGATACAACCCCAGAAACGTGTTATGGTCGTAACGAGGAAACGCGCAGTCTGGTCACCGCCGTGACATTATCGCCAGACGGCTCTAAAATAGCGTCAGCTACTCAGGATAACATAATCAAGGTCTATGACAA